GTCAGAACAGGCTAAAAAGAATATAGGATACTAAAACTACCGTCTTTCTTAGCAAAAAAAAGAAAAAGAAAAAGATACCTCTGCCTTTCGGTGATGAGGCGGCTTTTGCAAGAAATTCTACGACCAGTTCGTTGTTTGTGAAGATTTCTTTTTGATTTTATTTTGCAAGTGTAGCAGAAGCTTTATTTAAATAGTTGCAATGAAATATCGCATACCAAGAAAGATGTGAGCAATCGCATTTTTCATGAAGGGGCACTCTGCCGAAATCATTCCTCACCTCTAAAAATTACTGGGCAGTTGCACAAGAAATACAAAAGAAACACAAACTCCCGGTCGCCCTGCTCACTCCGGCTAGACGTTCTTTTGTTTTGATAACTCCCTGATGGTGCGAAAGCAAAATGGCATTGACGGCGTTATTAGGGTATAAAGTCACACATGATGGGGAAAACTGCTCAGAAAACACGATAATAAAGTTTTCACCACCACCACCACCAGAAAACACGAACTACGAGGAAAAACACTACAGGACAGTGCTGTATGTGTATGTTCCTCTTCGTAGTCTGTGCTTTCTGAGCTGTTTTTCCTTATCATGTATAACGTCAACCAACTGGCCCAGTTCACCACCACATTGCATGAAGTCACCTGTGAGGCTGCAATTTCAATTGGTCATGATTGAAGCGTTGCAGTAGTCAAAGCCGGCTTGCATTTCTACAACCAGAGGTGCATCATTACAGTCGGGATAGCAGCGAGCTCGGCGTGTTTATGTGATCCATATTAACGTGGTGAATGCCTATAGGTGGTCCTAGGCGAGCCAATATGAGCATCGATGCAAAGCAGGTGAAAGCAATCCCCTTGAGTTACCATCTACGGTGCATTCTTATGTGCCTCCCTCCGATGGTGTACTTCTTGCGGCCGCGTAATCTGGTGATGTCAGGTGATGCTAAAACAGAGTCGACAGTAACCTGCCCCCGGCATTTTCCATGAGAGACGCGGTACGCCATCTTCTGATCGGCTTGACGGCACCTGACCAGTTTAACAGGAGACCACAGCAGCGCCAAAAGGCAACCGCCAAGTCGAGGAAACAACCAGACCAAACGATATTATTTGTTATGTTCGTTTGTTGCCTATTTGTGCTCCTGTCTTTCAGAAGTGCTATGATCACATCGACTAGCCCAAGTATTACACTCTTTCACCGCTTACCTTCGTGAAGAGCATTCACGTAAGTGATGGGCACGCGACGGTCTTGTAGAATGAAGTCAATAATAACTTAGTGACCATCTTCGTAGGTTACGACAAAGTAATTTAAGATATTAATATTTCATTTCATTTTATTTTTATTGATATGGTATTTTTATGGTATTTTATTGAATTTTATTTGATTCTAATGCGTCATTTTTCGTTAGATGAGATAGAATTCCAGGTTTTATTGTTCACCGGACACGCAAGAAGATTCATTTATCTCGATCTACCAAACTTCGCTTTGAGAACGCTGGCAGTTAAAAGGAGAACGTTGGCCCGCTTGCGCAGAGCTATAAGTCACAAGTTTGTACGCTGAAAAATCTTAAACGAAAAAGAGCCCAAATTTCAGATTGCCCTTTTCAAAAGAACGCAGGATGTAGTAGCTGCAGTGCCAATTATTCAATTTCGGCATTGTTTCGGCACAAACTTTGAACTTGTTCTGAACACGATGGCCACGTCAGCAATTGGCGTGAACTCGACTGAGCTTGCGTCGAAAACGAGTGTATTGTCAGCGATTGGTCAGGACCCGATCCAATCACACGCTTCGTGTTGAAGAAAGGGTACCACCAATTGTACTGGATGTTGTAAAAAGAGCTGCGCTGATCTAGTGTTCCTGCGTATTTCTTACCATCTTTCGTGGTTTTCAGATATTTCTCGCTCTTTTGGCAAGTACATCCCCCATGCTGGAAGGCAACAAAGCCCTGTTCGCGCTAACAGTGCCCGACAGTGCACGCAAATGCACGTTTTAGCACTGTGTTTACTGCCGAGAGTTTAAAATAGAAATGCCGTAACAGACCAATTATTTCGTCTTCCTGACTGAAAAAAGTTCCAAGCTACCTAATACTCATGAAATAGTCGGGATATTTTCTTTTATAATCAAGCACACAGAGAAAATGCATTCACGTTTTCTAATGGAAATGCATTATAGGAAGTAAGTTTTCGACTGGTTGCTTTCTGTTTCAATTTGCAATAGCGCAGTAGCAGCAGTTGAACCTTTAGGGTACGTTATACTAACCCTATGTTGCATAAGGCACTTATAAGTGCTGACTCGCAACTGACTCAAGAGCTCTAAAGCAAGGAACTTGAGTCTAGCCACGTGCCGAAACAGCACTCGTGACCGTTCATAACCGGCGAGTGTGACGTACTGGATGGTTCCTCGTGACGTGTGGGAGACGCTAAGCCTAATGAGCGGATTGAAAATATCACCGCTCGAAACAAGGCAGTCCTCATTCTTCAATAGATTGCAGAAATTTTGCACGACATTGCTAAAACTCGAACAAGAGGGGAGCTGCAAAGAAGAGACAGCAAAGGCTTTTGTAAAAAAAAAAAACACGACGATAGCGCATATGTTTTTGAATGATATTGATTTGGTCTTGAGTCTTGACTTCAAACATTTAACGTATAATTATATACAGTGTGTGCGGGCTACCTCAGGGCGCCATAACACGGGGAGAGAATTCTTGACAAAAATAATCCCTGGAGAAAGGAAACAAGAGAGACAAAGAACAAAAAGAAATCTCCAAACACAAAAATCCGTCCGGACCAGGCAGATTTTTTTCGGTCGCGCACCAGTCACCTAGCTGGGTTTAGAGATTTGAGTTTGTCCTTTGTCCCTCTTGTTCCCTTTCTCCAGGATTATTTTCGTCATTCTTGTCCACCTCGCTTGCACGCATTTAATTGCATTATAAACAGAAATGCTTGCGCTTTTTCGATGTTTTCCGTGTGTTTGGCTGGGCGCACGACGACTCTTGGTTCATTAGCGATCGATTCCGTGAGCGTTACACTCTACAAATGCCCCATTGTCATGCTTTCAAGTGAACAAAATGTCACAAGTGAAGTTATTGAGATTAACTTGAAACAAGGAGCGCCAACGACACCTCCGATGCCACCAACTCCGCCGAGCCTAGGTCATCGCACGACGACGGCATTGGTTGGCTGTGCTAACCTGATTCCATGTGCTGGCGAATGACGGCGCAGCGCGACAAGCGCGAAAATGAGGCGCCGGCGCCGCGGCGCCACGACCGGACGGTTCTGTACACCGATGGGCCATTAGGGCACGTACAAATGCAGTGTGCACGGCGATTTGGAAAAGAAACCTTGAATACCAAAGCAAGCGAGTGAAAACACTACAAAATTCTGCATTACAGCGACTCGGGTCACGCCAGAGGAAGCATTACTTTCGGAAAATTGTCTGCTAAAACCAAGACACGGCTCGGCTTGAGGCTTATCTTCGGCGCTTGGGGAGGTAGGTTTCCACCGCCGACGCTTGGCCATTAACGAAGTAGATGATGGCGTTTAGGGATTTGTAGGTTTCAAGTCGTTCTCAGGTATATAGACCAGGCCAGACGAATAGGTAGCCCTGAATATGCCCCCACAATACCTTCGGCACATTTGTCATTTCTTAGAGGAGAAAATGCTTTTTGTTTTCACCGAAGGGATCAGGAAGGCTCGTTATCCTTATTATTATAATGCAATTAAATGTAAAGGTGCAAGTGAGGTACCGCACTAAGCACTCGGCGGTGATACTTCTAAAGTACTCGCTACTCACTGCGGGTCCTCGAAAACCAGCAAAAATAATAGCTAACAGGAAGTAATATACTACCCCCCCCCCCCCCCCCCAAGTTCTGCCATTATTTGTTTACCTCCATCGTTCCGCGCCTTCGCCCACAAGCTCCATTTCAACATCGGCATACGTCTTGTATACTATATGAGCCCATAATCATCCTTACTAGACGCCGCACCGCGGGGCTCTATGACACGGGCTGTCGCCTTTCCGTAGTTTCGTGGTTCCCTTGAGTCATTAAATATTACTATTATTATCTCCGTACGCCCTCTATAAAACATAACAAAAACATATTTTATGCTTATGATATAAAAACATATAACATATAAAAAATGAGTAGGTTCGTTTTCATTCAATATTTGTAACACCGTACTTGTAAAGCGAAAAAAAAAGTACATACATATATATATATATATATATTTTTTTTTTTTAATTTGACATTATATAAATTGCTCGTTAGCCGTTTGGCACCGTGAGGGAGAAACGTAAGCATGCCACGCTACGTATTGTACAGGCTGGTCCATATCACATGAGCGAATGACATTTTAGCGAATGACACTTTAGCGAAAAGAGGTCATTTCAGCGAATCGTCATTTTAGCGAATGACGTTTTAGCGAATATTGCTCATTTCAACGAATGACGTTTTAGACAACGATATTTTAGCGATTAGGCTTGTTTCGCTTATTTTTTTCTTTACCGAAACCGGAAATACTTGTCTGCTGCTTTTCCTTTTTAACCGCGAGGGAAAAGAACAACACGGAAATTCCTATTTTGGTTTTAGTAAAAGAACGTAACAATACATTACGAGCAACCACAGCGTGGAACCCACAAAATACGCCTAACTGAACGGAAGCTGCACGCCGACAGATAGCTAGTGACTGGTCAAAAAGGACATCCGGGTCATCCGCGATCACTGCGACATGGGTGGTACTTGTCGCTGGAAAAATTGTGAAGACGCGTTACGCGGTATCACCGCTATCACTGCGATCGTTGTAACTTCGTGCTTCTGTGATCCCAACAGAAGTTCCCTTGCAATAACGACGAACGGCGACGAAGCACAACACAGTTCACAACTAGAGTGTAATATCGCGCGAGTCACGCAGTACACTTTCCACAGTTAGGAAATCTTATCACCATCAGCGGTATCACAACGTCCCAACTCACGAAACATTTAACCGAAACCATCTGCTTGTTGAAGGAAAATATTTTGTGTTCGCTAAATTGATTCTAGGTTCCAAAGTGACAGCTTGCAACTCTGGGTGGGTTATTTGCAACGACACAAAGTCCAGCGTTCTACTTTTAAACCTTTGGACCATGGTACGTTAGGCTGAAACGAGGAATAGTTTCGTCTAGGGTGCCTCTATGTCCTTCTGTTTAGGATGATGCCACCCTTTATAGTAACCGATGCCTACAGCACGCGCTCAAGGGGGAAATACAAAGAAATCGACAAAAACAAAATGTCGCCATAGCACAGTCAGTGCCACAAATGCGTGCGGGGACACGCTCTTTCACGCGTTTCGGTACAAAACAATAAAAATCGGCAGACACAAAAAAAAAAAAAAAGAACTTACTGAAAAAATATTGAGATTCTTCTACCGAGGCGAAGGAGGGCGTAAACACAATAATCGCACCGCCATCGGCATCATAACATGAACGCAACGTTGCACCATGGACGTGATGGCCGGTTAACCGCGCTTAAAAAAGAGTGAGTACTGGGTGCTGCGCTTGCACCTGCGATATGTATATAAAAGAAGTTACAACCTCTCAAACTGCCTCTTTCTACAGTACTTAACGCTACCATTGTGTCGAGATGCCTCCCCTGCAATTCGAAACAGTAAGTCCGTCGCGCAATCTAACAGTCCAGCCATTGCGACGATTGTAGAAAACCGCTGTCTTGAAAACGCGGTCAGGCTGCAGACGCACTCGGTATATTATCACAGTTTACGTGAGAAACATGAATGAAGCGAAAAAGAATAAAAAAGAATTGCAGAAATCAAGAGGCGCGGCAGACGCAAAGGGCCATTCGCTAATCCCTCATTCGCTCAAATGAGCGCCCCCATTCGCTAAAGCGTCATTCGATAAAACGTTGGGGGCGGGGCTGCATTCGCTAAAAAGTCATTCGATCAAGTGAGTGCCTACCGTACAGGCCTTCTGCATTGTCGATGGGGCGCTGCGAAAATGTCTTGTTTATCACTTGTTTTGGGTAGAACAAACTTCAGCTTCTCAGACTATAACGGATCTAGAAGCCTGCCTGCCCTGGCGCGAAATGCAAGATCACAAAGAAAATACGAACAAACAACAAAAATTCGAACACCGTCGAAGCACAGGTAAAATCTAATGCTAAGAGTGTGAGCCAAGAGATGCGGTTTCACGCCTTCCCAAGTAGAGATAAAACAAAAATATTAATAAAAGGCTTCGCGACGATAGGAGTTCTGACGTCACCGCCCAGAGATAAGAGACGAATACTCTAGCGGTGGTGGCATAAATCTGGCACTTTCGAATTTTTCGCGGCTTTGAATCTGGCCGATTTCGGACGTCCAAAGGTGTTTTTCCGTTTTTCAGCGCAGGAGGCCTATAAGCCGGCAGCGCCAGTAAAGTTGCGCTCGTGTGAACTCGTGATTTCGGGGCCCCCAAACGTTGGGGCTGCCTAAGGTGCCTTCATATACGCTTTGCTTGGGGCGATGACATTTTTTGTAGAGCCCGATGCCGAAAACACGTGCTCTCAATCAAAATACAAATAGCCGATAACAAAATGCCGCTATGGTAAGCTACGCGCTCACGATAGCGCGTAGCTATGTTAAACACGGGCGGCTCGTCTCAAGATCACGTGGTCGCTCCTAGCGGCTGCGAGTTGAAGGTAAAGTCTGCAAATATTCTTTTATTGTTTTAGAGCGCAGCTCTTAGGCGCCCGTTTCCGGCTTGAGCGGCGTCGGCGTCGCCGTCGCCGTCGGCGTAACCAAGGTCAACCCAAGGTCACGGAACCCTCAAGGTCGCCCCAAGGTCACGTGACCCTTAGGTCATGTGATGCCCAAGGTCACGGGACCTCCAGGTCATATGACCCCCCAAGGTCACGTGACCCCTCCCAAGGTCACGGACCCCCAAGGTCACGTCACCCCCCCCGGCCACGTGACCCCCCGAGGTCACGTGATTCCCCTGAGGTCACGTGACCCCCGCCGCCGAGGTCACGTGACCCCCACCCGATGACATCATCGTCACTGATGACGTCACCGGCATCCGCATCGTCATCGTCATCATCACTGATGACGTCCCCGGCATCCGCATCGTGATCATCATCATCACTGATGACGTCATCAGTGACGTCACTGATGACGTCAAAGGCATCCGCATCGTCATCGTCATCATCACTGATGACGACATCAGTGACGTCACTGATGACGTCACCGACATCCGCATCGTCATCGTCATCATCACTGATGATGTCATCAGTGACGTCACTGATGTCGTCACCGGCATCCGCATCGTCATCTTCATCATCACAGATGACGTCACAGATGACTTCACCGACATCCGCATCGTCATCGTTATCATCACTGGTGAAGTCATCAGTGACGTCACTAATGACGTCATCGGTATTCGCATCGTCATCGTCACTGATGACGTCATCAGTGACGTCAGTGATGACATCATCGGCATTGTCATCGTCACGTGATCCCGCCTCCGGTCAGTTGACCCCCCCCCCCCCAGTACCCTTCCCTCCTCCTCCTCAAGAGCTGCGCTCTAATTCGGCGTTACAGGGAGTTGTAAACGGCTTTCACTTTTTTTTGCGATTGGTACTGCGAGGGGAGAAAACTAACGCGTGTTTTAAAGGTTAAAAAAGGAAATAATTGTAAGTGACATTTACGCAAAGTACAAAAATCGTTTCACCGCTATTTTAGGTGTCTGATTTTTTTTTGACGTAATAAATAAGCTGCACGTTGGAGATCGCCAGAGACCACCGTGCCTGAGACCCATCGACAAGAAAGCAGGCCCTAAACAGTGAGGTGTAGACTGAGCGGCAGGAATATGGACATCGTCAACACCATGATTTGATTTTTTTACTGTACAGTGTTCTAGAGGATGTAGTGGCAAAAGCGGTGCCCGCTTAAAATGGGCCGCGCGAAGACGGCCAACGTAGATGCCGCGAGTGGCGCTGGAGTTCCAAGCCCAAGGAGAATTTGTGGCAGATGGCAGATGTGCGATGAGCGAAGAAGACAACGAAGCTGAGGCTTTACGCTTCTCCCGAACGTAGCACCGTAGAACTTTTATTTGTGGTGTAGTGGTGAGGAGTCTTCCCCGCTCCGTTGCCGTCTCGGTCATACATGGAAGGAAGAAGACGGACACACACACTGCTTCGCGCCGTTCCCAAACGCGCTCGGTCTTGCACCTTACACAACGCTGGTCCTCGCATCAGCAACAGGATGACAAAAAGAATACACCAGTTTATTGTTTCTTTCACCATTAGAAGAGTTGAGATTTTTTTGTCTATTCTTCCTTGTTATATCAGTATTGCGTGGTTTCTTTCGCATCTATTAAGCGTGCAGCCCAAGTGATAGCGTTGCTGAACTACCTGTCAGTACTGGGTCAATATTAATCAAATGATCTTCATCAAAAACACGCGAATAATAATAGTAGAGGATAGCACACACTCTAGAGGCATTAGTGCAAAGAAAAACCTACAATTTTTCACATTAACAATTGTTCTGCGTCGCGAAAAGCTCCAGTCGAACCAGAGTAGTACACGCCGAGCAGCGCCGACGACGAGCCTGACGGAGGCACGTTCCTAGGGCTCAGAGCAGCAGCGCTACGGTGGCGTCTGCGCGCAAAATCTTCACACGGCAGCCTCCACTCTTGCCACTACAACTATTTAGAACACTGTACCTGACTGATACACAGGAACCTTTTTTGTTGTCCTCTAGCTTGGTGTTTACGACATCCAGTATAGTCTATCCTCACTCTATATTTTATCGAGAGGATATACCGGTTGTTATTTTCAACTGGGTGCCTGACTCTTCATATCTGGAAATGTACGTTTCGCGCGGAAACTGATATTTTGACTGTTTCAGCTCAGGATTCAATGAGTCTATTGAATACTCCGAACAAAGAGGCCCCACATAGGGAAAATAATCAAAAAAGTGGACCATCCCTATCCGCCCCCCCCCCCCCCCCCCCACCCTTATTATGTTTAAAAAAAATGAAACAGCCGGGTCGCGGAATAGACAATTTTCAAGATGCAGTACTATCTAAAGAATCAAATATCCGTCTCCATTTGCGTTTGCTAACGGTGGTTGAACTCTAGTACCCCCTGATAAGGGCAGACGTACGAACATTATGGTGTTCTTCGTTGTGCAGTTCTTTCTTTGTTCGTTTCAGTTTCCAATAGTCTCAAAGAACTACCACTCGGGCGAGGTGCTTACTTGAGTGAATATCTTGATAACGTTCACCGTATTTTATCGTCATTACCTATCTCGGGGCATGCCGAAGCCATGCATTCCAAGGATTCACATGACACACTCAAATGCGTAGCACATAGAAGTCTACTAGTGTCTTCACGCTGACATCGAACAAAAATAAAGCTGTCTAATATTCCTGTCAGACGGGAAAGTAAATGTCATTTTGATGGAATGTTTTTCACCGCTCGGCGAATCAGCTCGTGATGCTGGTTCTGCACGTGGCGTGTGCACGTGCAGCGTGGCGTATTAAACACTCCGATTGACCGAGCTGTAATGTCATTTTGCTTAAATGTCATTTAACGTGCCCGTCTGACAAGGGTATTACACCTCATGTTCAGGCTCCGCATTGGTGCCTGTCTTTAAAATCATCCGTCGTCCACCATCAAAAATCAGTCATGTGCATGTACAGATGATATAAACTTCGGAGATGATAGTTTAAATGGGGAATAAATTCATGTTTCAGGTATTTTGAATAGTACCCACGTTTTAGTTTTACTCACTACATCATGTTTTACACATTACAAGGTGAATTACCCAGAAATATCTTACCCGCTACAATACTGCGGTGTTGAATTGACAAACTGTTTGGAAACGTTTTATGCCGACAGCTGTCATTGGACAATGGTCCGCAAAAGATCCGGCGTGCTTACAGTGCAGGATGTGGCCCGTTAATTTTTGCATGAGTGACGTGACACTGTGACATTGTGAGAAGCGTATTCCGTTTAAATTTAGTAGAATATTTTTTAAGCTAGATTTAGCGACGACAGATTGACAACATTAAGCGCCAGATCATTTGAGGCTATGTTGAATCATTTTCCCGCTAAATATACCAAGAATAAATAAGCATTCCTTCCAAATAAAAACAAAAAAAAAACATCGATGACTTTAATGCTCATCTTGCTGTGGAAACGTGCTCGCTCTCCCGGAGGTCCCGCAGAAATACTATTTCTATTTCTACGCGGGAGGAAGAGGGGGGGGGGGGGGAGGGGGATACTATCTAGAACCATAACCTCCTCCATACACACAAAGCCTTGCAGTTCGACGACGGAGCCATTGAGTGCCCGGCCGCAGACTTGGAGCGCGAGGATCTGGTAGCACAGAGCATCACAGAGCCATTTTTCGGGGAACCTGGACGTCAGCCCAGAGCTTTTGCAGCCGCGAGGACCCGAAACACACTTGTTCGCTCGGGAGAAGTGTGTGTCGGCTTCTCGCCGCAGCGGGGCGCCATTCACGTGGCTCGTCCCTCATCCGTTATCTTCCGCTCCACCTTTTCCATTACGGCGGTCGCTTCTCGTGGCGATCTGCCACGCTTTCTCAGTATATAGGAGGCTATGCTGGAACACAAGACCTGCGTATGACGTCAGAGGCTGCAGCGTCGCACTTGCTGCGAAACGCTCTCAATCGCGCTGGTGGTGCTGCTCACGCAAGCTAGGCGGCGAAAGACACAGGGCTTGTCTTCTAGGTGGTGTAAGAAGACCGAAGTTAACCTCATACCGCCACCTTTTAACGTTTCGCACAGAACGAAGAGTCCATCGTAGCTGCCATGGGAACTCCCCGCTCACAGGCTGCCCTGGGGTTCCTCCCACTTCTACTGCTGGCAGTGCTGATGGGGTCCCGTGTCTCGGCTAAGAACGGCGTCGATTTATTCGTCTCGTCCACTTTAAGGACGTGGGCGAACGTGTCTCGCATGGTTGTGGACAAGGATACCGGGAAGGTACGTTGCAACGAAGTGGCCAGACATCATAATTTTCGGACGACAATCAGCGAAGTATTTATGCTTATTAAGGCCGAAATCTCGAGAAAGGGTTCGTGATATAAAAGAGGATCGATTAAATAAATATTTCGTGCATATTAATAATGAGCAGAATCAAAGTATGCTCTTATCTTATTATAGTCACTCTCAGCTCAATAGACGCAGGGCGTTCTTATGTTCACGCTCGTTGCTTTGCGATTTCTTTTTCGACTTTCTTATATCAGCTAACGTCCAAATCCCTTTGACTGTGGAATGATTATAAGTTGCACAGAACTTGCCACACCCTGCGTTTCATAAGCTCTTACTGAATATTGTCGGTGAAACGATGTCATCTGCAGTGTCGCAGCGGGAACCGGTGAATTGGTTAAACAAATAACCGAGTAAACAATATCTGCTTCATGTGACACCAGGTATATAAAATTGTATGTATCCTCTTCGAAGACACACTTTGGTCTAAGTAAATATGTCGGCTGGGTATCTATCGATGCGCTTGCAAGTATTTTTTTTTAGTGCATTTCGACAAGCACCGTATATATTCGAAAGTAGGTAGAACTCTTTATTAACAAAGGCCTCTACATCTATTTCTCTGTAACGCTTAATAATAGCAATACATTTCGATTTATGGAAGACGCCCAGCGAATGAGAGGCACTGCTAACGTCGGCACACAAAAACGAGTTCTATGTGGATCGCGTTTTTTTTTTTTTTTTTTGTTACAGACGTTGTTCCTGCTTTGCCATTTGATGGTTCCTTTCGTTTTTCGTTATTCTTAGAAACACAATTCATTTTTTAAACATTCGCAATTTTTACGTCGTTAGACTCAGTTCAGTTGTGAGGTCACGGCCCGCTCTAGACGCCGCCAAAATATCAGTGGACCCGCGTATTACCACTGGATTACCTTGACTGCTCGACCGGACCATATAGACGTTTTTCGCAAGGACGCCGCCATCTTGAATTGACGTCACTTCCAGTATGGGCGAAAACATTGTTTTGCCGTCGCCACGACAATAGAAGGCATTTAGGACATAAGCATAACCGTCACACATTCTCATTTTGTCTGCCCTCTATTTTTTTACTATTTGCAGGTTAAAACGTTCTGATATTTTTTCGTCGCCCATACCGGATACGCCTACTTGGTGGTCGGGGCCGAGAGTAAGCGGAAAAGTTCTATAAGTATCGGGGCTGATCATGCTCGGAAGAATAGTGTCTCTCTTTCCCGGCATCCGGTGCGTCAAGTCTGGCCTCTAACTTCGCCTGCTAGTAGTACGAGCAGAGGCGCGACAGGCCCTCGGCATCGTCCGCTATTTCACCACCGCTTATCCCGTCTGCAATGCCAGTAAGATGCGTACATGCATGAAATCTGTGCGTAGGCGTCCGCCAACACAAAGACGCAAGGCCAGTCCCGCAACAAAAACAAGCATCCGCACAGCGTTTCTGAAAGTGCATACTGGCTGGCGACAGTCTTTACTTTTTTCAAGGTACGTAGGTTGCTACGATTGTCATCTAGACACCTCGCTGAACGTAAAACCACTCGCACTCGTGAAAATAGATTCGCTCGATGAGGTCCGCTCCTTGAGCACTCTGCAGTCGTCGGCAGCCATATTTGTTATAGATCCACGCCAATGCGGTAAAAGCGATCTTGGAATACTTTTAAAAAAAATATTGATTCCATCTTTATTTTTTGTTTCTCTAGCATAAAAATAAAACATTGTCAAAACAAAATGCAATTAAGGCACGAATAAACAATTTTACAACGAACAATTCGCATGTCAATCATCTCTCCAACCAATGTAATCAAAGAAATGGAGCGTAGTTAACTACGTTCCGGGGCTAGGCGGGCTAGCTCCACCTAAATAGACCACTTGCTAAATACTCCAAGCGCCCCGGCCCGCGCTCGAAGAATCATGGGAAGGGTGTTCCTACAGTTTCATAGTGGTCGGTAATTTTGACCAATTCAATGCTTACACACTTTTGACTGTAATCCGGAGTTGTTTTGAATATGTGTCATGTAGATTCCACAGACCTATCATATTACTTTTAAAATTTATTTTCAATGCCAGCGTTTTTCACACTGTGTACGCAATCCACCCTTCAACCTGGCTGAGTTGCAGAAATTTCTTGCAATATTATCATTATAGTTATTCTTGTTTTTAGCAGGAATTGCTTAAAAAGCTGAGAATTCATAACAAACAAAACAAGGATTTAGCTCGGAGTCAGGGGGGCTGTTTATAGCATTTTAGCTTATCTCAGTTAATATCAGCGTATTTGAAACTGTACGCAAATTAAAATAATGCAAAATATTTCTACAAATAAGCCAGGTTTAAGGGTTGATTGCACGCACAGTTTGAAAAAAAAAAAGTAGACATTAAAGAGAAGTTTTAAAAGTGTGTAGGGAACCATTTGCACGGTGCGCAAAGAAGACAAGAAGGACAAGCGCGTGCCGCGGGACCAGAACGAGCTCGAGAGGCGGAACGACCGGTGTGACACAATAAGCTCTCTGTGATCGCAGCTACCGTTCATGAATTCCGCACATCTAATGTAAATATTGTAAAATAATTGTAGGTACGCGGTACTTAACTCTTTAATACTCTATATACAATTATTTTACAATGTGCGGAATCCATGAACGGTAGCTGCGATCACAGAGAGCTTATTGTGTCACACCGGTCGTTCCGCCTCTCGAGCTCGTTCTGGTCCAGCGGCACGCGCTTGTCCTTCTTCTCTTCTTTGCGCACCGTGCAAATGGGTCCCTACAAGTGATATGACAGGCCTCACCAATCTACACGACGCCTATTCAGGAACACGACTTTTGATTGGGCTAGTTGGTTTGTATTATACATGATTAAAACAGCGCGAACACAGCGCCAGTCCTGTCGTACATGTGCCTTTTTTCGTTCCTGTAAAGATTGCGCTTTTTGGAATCATGTCTCATTCACGGTGACTTCGGATTACAGTCAAGAAGCGTAAGCACCGAATTGGTCGAAACTACCGATCACTAGGGAACTGTAGGAACAGCGTTCCCATGATTCCTCGCGTGCGGTACGGGGCGCTTTTGGTGTTTACCAAATGGTCTATTGCGTCTAACGGCGTGAATATTGCAAGAAAAATTGTTTTTCATTTCAGTGTCTTTTTAATGATTGGTCACTGTGGGCCTTGCAAATAAAAAGGCGCACGGGTCTGTTAAAAAAAAAAGGTCGATCTTTTTTTTCAAATATATTCTCCCCATGAGTGGGGCATTGAAAATTACTGTCACACCATGATTCAAAACAAGCTACCGACGTATAATATGCGGACACCAACTGTTTTTATCATTAATAAATATATTACATTATATTCACCAAGTTTAAAAACACAGATGGTCCACTATTATGCTCATGCTTCATGTGTTTTGAGTGTTTTTTTTTAGTTCTGATCAGCTAATACTGGAATCGCGTTGACCAAGGAGAGCTAACGTGATGCTTGAAGATCGCCCCTCCCTACGTTTTACTTTTTTTTTTTATTTTTTTAGTCGCCAGTGACCATAGTGTTACATCGTCAATCCCAGCTTGTAAAAAAGAGTCGCGATGTCGAACCGCCTTTCATTTCTTTATTTCAGGTCTACATCGGTGGCGCAAACAGGATCTACCAGTTGACACCTAACCTTGAAACGGAGAGCCTAGCATTCATGGGACCATACAGAGACAGTGCACACTGTTCTCCGACTAGTGGCTGCCTGCCCGGCCAAGAGAAATTGCGAGACTACCATACGAAAGCAATGGCCATCGACTACTCCACGAAATCGCTTGTCGTCTGCGGGAACGTCATACGTGGCTCGTGTACTCTTCACAGTCTGCAAAACGTCAGTGACTTTCGAAGACCTTCGCACGAATCGGTGCTGTCCAGCGACCCGAACGAGTCTGCCGTCCTGTTCATATCGAACGGACCCGGGCCTCACAAGCAGGTCTTGTACGTCGGGACCAGCTGGAACACTGAAGGATCACACGCGGTAGATGTGCCCGCCGTTTCTTCAAGAAGTCTTGATCCGAACAAAGACACCTTCTCCATAGCAGTACAAGGTGAAAGATCGGGTACCAGAATGTTTGTGAACAGCGGGTCCCGTACGAACTTTCCGATAACCTATATATTCGGTTTCGAATTTCGGGGCTTCTCGTACTGGCTCACAGTGCAAAAGGGTTCGCTCGAAGAAGGAGCGCGGTTCATCTCCAAGCTGGTCCGCGTTTGTCAGAACGACCCAAACTACCACTCTTACACCGAGGTGGAGCTGGTCTGTCGTTCAGATAAAGATGCCCACTACAACTTGGCCCAGGCAGGCTTTGTTAGCAAACCTGGCTCGGACCTGGCAGACTCCTTGGGTTACGATGATGATGTCCTTTTCGTTGTCTTTGCGAAGAGTGAGAACGAAACGATCGACCGACCGGGAAACGAGTCTGCTCTTTGCCTATTTCCGCTGGAGGCGGTAATGCGGAATTTCACTGAAAATATCAGGGACTGCTTCCAGGGAGAAGGCAATCGAGGACTGGATTTTATTACGCCCAGTACTCCCTGTCAAAATACGGTGAGTGAATGTCGACCTTTAACAGCTGGTTTGCGTATTTTCTTTTTAGCTTGAGTACTCCTGCAAAGTACCGTCAATTGTTTCTGCTCAGCCATAAAGTGTATAACTCACCCTTGTAGTCCGTTTCCCGCATTTCCAAACCGAATTACTTCAGGGTACCATTGTGACTTGTTAACTGTATTGCCATAATGGGCGAACTTCGGTGAAATCTTCATTCAATTGTACAATTCTGATTTGTCCTTCAACATTATACGTGAGAAACTATCCTTAGTTTCAATGCCCCCCACCGGTCTTGCCAATTACATCCTTACCTTGGACCGGTCATACGATTGTAACTTTAAAAGACCCCTCCTGGTTGTTTCGTTGTAAATATTTACCCCGGAGAACAGATTGCATTGCGAAGAAAAGTTGTCGCCGAGTATAGGTGATGTTGGCCTGCTGCCAAGAACCGGGCAGTGCGCACGAGCGTCCTCTGGAAGGGTACATGTTAGCTTCTTGGGTAGTTGGTTTTTAATGCGAGAGTATGCTTTAGCTACCCCCCCCCCCCTCCCTCCATGGTTTTGTTCGACTTTCTGACTTCCTGTTGTGCAGTAGACCATTTCAGCTCACATTTTCAGACTCCTGCACAATCGCACCCTCTTCGAAGGACCTGGCGACGATGACATCGTCCTCGACGTCCTCCTAGAGGTCGTCTTTCCCGTTGTCCTAAATGACGTCCTGGACGTTGTCCTTCAGGCCGTCCTAAAGGTCGTCTCAGAGATCGTCCTTCAGATTGTCCTAGAGGTCGTTCTAGACGTCCTCCGGGATGTCGTCCTTGAGATCATAGTACAGGTTCTCCTTGAGATCGCCCTAAAGTTAGTCCTAGAGGTAATCGTAAACGTCGCCTTTAACGCCGTCTTCTAGGACCTAGACACATAGTGTAGCAATTTATAGACAAGCAACAATAGTGGTTTCTGCAGCTAATTCTTATCTGCTGGGCTTCCTCGTTTGCTCGCTTCAACGCGAGACGCTTCTGTCTAATTGAAACGGCGACACACGCCGCTCCGGTAGGCGTTGATTTCGGAATCTTCGTTCATTTCTCTGGACAGTGGCCGAGCGGCAGAACTCGCGTCTTTTGCGACACGGGCAGTTCATGCGACTATCAAGCGCGACTCGGCGAAGCGTTAGCTCACCCCCCCCCCCCCTCCTTTCATTTCTTGTACCACCAGCACTTAGTTCTACCGAAATTCCGGCACTATAATACACCTATGCACCAACCAATTTTTTTTACTTTCATCTCCCACCAGCCTGTTTCAATAACGGACCTTTTCTGTGGCTTGGAAGTCAACACACCGCTGGAAGGAAGCAAGCCCATTACTGTCAAGTCCGCGCTCAGCTACACGGACACGCAGCTCAACTCGGTAGCGGCCACGACGATCTACAACTTCACTGCCGTTTTCTTGGGAACGAATCGAGGACACTTGAAGAAGGTGAACTATATTTTTAAGAAACCCGTTCAGATATTGATATTTTTCATTTGCATATTAAAGGCTCACTAAACTTGCATAAAACATTTGTAAGCTTCTAGAGAGCACATCTATGTAACAAAACAAACTTTCCCCAGAATATTTCTTGGAGCTTGTCAGATTAACGTTCCATGAACCAATACCGTACAATATAATGCAAGGCAATTCATTACGTATTTTATTGAGTCTTAGAATTCACAATTAATTGCTTACACACGTAAAAACGATCGTGCGTGGGACGCAGAGGTGGCGGTACTAAAGGAAAGGGAGTAACCTGCCAAGAACACATTTCGGGTGCTCAACGACATTGTGCATCCAAAGCGCGGAATTTCGTTGAGCACTTTGGACGCTCATTTTGTGTATAATTTTAAATTGTGGGGGATTTCTAAGCATAGGGTCGATTTCGGTATGAGCGTCTCAACACAGAAGCCCGATTGAAGATCATTTTACCTCAAAATGTGTCTCGCAATGTAAAAATTGATTTTTTTTTTGTCCGGAAACGTTGACGTTTTTCCATGTGTCCTATTTAGGTACTGATTTTTTATGGAAGGGGGAGGGTAGTTTAAATGAATTTATACAGTTTGCTCAACAGTGTGTTTCCTTTCAACCACTTTTTTCTACGACTGGGTCGCATCATTGAAGGATGTTGCATAAGCATTCTAAGCTATTAAGGCTAGAATATTTCATCTTAGAATGTACCGTACCATGTTTCACCTTCAGTCCGGAGGCAGACGACGCTACGAGCTGATGGGACAAATCCATCAGCATTAAAAACGCGGGTCGCCGCCGCACAATATAAATTGAAAGACTAAATCCGGAGGTGTTTAAAGAATTGGACTTAGACTTTGCATTCCCCTACTAGTTTGGATCAAAGCCTTATCAAAATCCGGCAGATACGCTACAATTGCACGTAATACTGCTTCAGCTTATAATCTCCGCGATTGTACATAAACATGACCAACACAATGTTTATGCGATTTTGATGCTCTGTGATTGGTGGTCCACTCAGCTCCTAGCAATGTCTTTGTGCGAACATATGGTGAAACAAAGTATTGCTCAAGCATTCTGAAAATATGACAAAATTTGCTCAAATCTCGAGCGCTGTTTGTGAGTAAACATATTCGTATAAATAAACCCATGAACCGAGCGCATTCGAACTTTTCACAAAGGTGTTTCTAGCGGGTGAGCTTATCAGACCCAAGCTTTTACTTGTGTTGCTTTCAGGGGAAAAATGTATGCACAAAAAACGATCTAATACAGTCAATCAAGCGGAACAAAAGTGTATTCTCACGGCGCTTATCGTTTTTCTGTGTTTCGTATAAACGTCAACACATGAAGCGCAGGACCTGCGCTGCAATACTACGCTGCGATGCTGCGCTTTTTTTCCGTGCATGATAGGGCAAGCCGGAAATAGCAAATCATACAACAAAAATAAAAAAAAAATGTGCGCCGAGAGGATGCGTTTGTGGCGTCGCTTGTTCAGTTTCATCGGATCGGCGTCAGAAGCAATCAGGCCTAAAATGAAACGGAGTGTAGTAAAAATTATATAGTTTTCGCAAAATATATGTTTAACTTTAGTATATTGCGATCAACTGTGAACGCAGGTCTAACCGTTCAAATAGAATCTTGATTGGAAATATTGAGATTTAACAGCCAGAGTCAGGTATGTGTTATATATTGCCTGTCCCTAGTACATCTTACGGTTTCTTTCCACTCAATAATGGTGAACCGGCCATTTGCGCATTGCGCTTTTCGTGCAGGTCTTGTTGGAATCTGCGACGAGTGGCTACGAAGTAGACGATATCGCCGTCGACGAGGGAAACCCAGTTCTTCGGGATATGTTATTTGACGGAAGCAAGGACCGCATCTACGTGATGACTGATTACATGGTAAGGAATGTATGCTTTTCTGTTATACTTCCCGATAGCTTAGGAAACGCAGGGCACGGCGAGAACCCGATTATCTCAATATCGCTGCATGGTTAATGGTAATGCGGGGTTCGCCAAAAAGGGAACCCGGAGGAGGCATTACGATGCAAGAAGTGTAAACATAATAAAGCGAGAGCGAATGTGCCATACTCACTGATAGGTGAAGGAACGCAAGCGTGGCTTATTGTGCTCACACTTCTTGATTCGGGATTTGCTCCTCGGTTTTCTTATCGGCTAATGCATAGCCTCCTCTATACTCACATGGCCTGGCAGTTCGACGACGGAGCCATAGATCGCACGGTCGCAGGTTTGAAGCGCGAGGATCTGGTAGCACAGAGAATCAAAGACCCATATCTCGGGGAACCTGCACCTCAGCGCACAGCTTTTGCAGCTGCGAGGACCCGAAACACACTTGTTGGCTCGGGAAAAGAATGTTTCGGCGTGTCGCCGCAGCAGGGCGCCAGTCACCTGGCTCTCCTCTCATCCGTTGTCTGCCGCTCCCCCTTTTTCATTTCCGCGGCAGCTTCTCGTGGCAATCTGCCAGGCTTTGTCTGAATATAGGAGGCTATGGCTAAAGCTGTAATCATATCAGCTGCGGAGCGATAACAATACTCTCGTGTCTCGACGCGCTCTACGTTTCTTTTTAAGATGTTAGCCACTATAAATGGGCAGTAAATACTAGAGTGTCTTTGCATCAACATGGAAGTGGCTCAGAGTGTATCAAATAGAGCAAAACAGTCGAACGAAAGTGATAATTATGTTAATGTATTAGGTTATATTTCAGGTTTCAGCTGCTACTGTTTTAACTACCGGAGTCGGTCGCCGAAACCATTTGGCCTAAATAATATTTCACAAACTAAGTTTTTCTCTTAGTGAACGAAAAGGCAGGGAACAAACGATCTGGGGTAGATTACGAGACATAACACAGCCCCGACAAACGATCTGGTGTAGATTACCAGACATAACACAGCCCTGAGACTGCACGGAGCAAAAACGACACACTTACACAAGACACATTTTTTTGCGCGTGTGTTGATGAAGTATACTAGAAGAGAAGCCCCGTTTAGAACTATTCCATCCGGTGCTTTATTTTACATTGAGCAACAAATCCAAATGCAATTTTCTCACACATAAATTTTCCGCGGATGATTCTGTACTGCAAACTTGTTTACAGGTTAAGCTTTGCATTCATCGCCAGATCAGCGCGACCCTACGCCGGACTTTCGCATTGTCCAAACTAATGGAGCCTAAATTAGCCCATATTACCAAGCGGTTGATAGCCGTTTTTCATATTTGAGTTTTACTTTAATTATACAAATTTGTGAGCGAATGTTTTTGTTCTTTCACTATAGCTCAGCGCCGTCGATGTGCAACAATGCTTTCGCTACCTCAAATGTGGCGTCTGCACTTCCAACCGGGATCCGTACTGTGGATGGTGTGGGCCAGAGAAAAAGTAGGTGATCGTTTCTAGAAACTACAGGTTGCGTTTCTAAAAACATAAAAAAAAAGTTCATAACCCAGTTATCAGTCAAGAAAAACGCCAATTTTGGTTCGAGCTTGGTACTCTGAGGCGTAGTAAGATTAACAACTGGGCAAGTTCTTGAGGGTTCATAATCATATACAGCGCGACTAGGGAAGAGAGAAAGACTAGAAAACACATGACAAGCGCTGGCTACCAAATGATTAAAATTAAACAAAACCATATGCAGGTTTTCGTTTTATTAATATCAGTTGCTACTCAACGCTTGTCCCGTTTTCTCTTCTATCTGTCCTTGTCCTCTTCGTGCTGTATTTCCTTATGAACTCCGAAGCGCCTTACTTTCGCCTAATGTGGCTTTTTTTCAAAATGTTAATTAGTGCGCTAGAATTGTTTTGCGCTTCTGTGGTTATTTAATTTTACCCACCACTTAACTGCCAAAGTGCCTGATTTAAGCCAAGGATACCACGAATGAACCCGCACTGACGCCTAAATATGACACTTGTTCGGTAATTTAGTCCCAAAATTGCCACATGAAAACCGAACAACCCGATGTGTAGCCTCACACTGACACTCGTTTATCAATTTACGTCTAAAGATGCCTGACGACAGGCAAATTACGAGCACTGAAGCCATACTTTTATATTTGTTTGGAGAATTAGGGCCACGTTAGGGACTCTTTTTTATATTATTGTTTGTATATACTCCTGACCACCAAAGGAGAGAAAACGATAGAAAACACACAGCTGAAATACCTAAATAAAAGTGCAAAGGTCTTGTGCCACTGTACCCATAACTGCTGAACAACGCCATACTCTCCTAAAATAAATAGAACACCACACAAAAATTGGGAAAAACACGCCATTATCGTTTTACACAAACAAAGAAAGCCTCCCAGCCTACAAACACACAAACAGTACAGCGTCATGAATTCTATAAACTTGAAACATGAAAAAGCGGGCCGATCATTCAATGGGTATAAAAATGTTGGTGCCTAGCCTGCGGAGGCAATAGTTCAGGGGAGCAGGTTCCATTTCTGAACAGTACGTAGATAAAAGTAGCATTTATAACTATATGTTCTTCACATGATTAGATTGGGTGTTTTGGAATGTTTGTTTCTTGTCGCTCTGAGTGAATTAAAGGTAACGTAGTTTCGAGACAACTTCACCAAATCATCAAAGAAGGGGCAAGTTTGACTCTAACTTGGGTTCTGCGGACATTTTTTTTTACGTTACGTCATACAGTGATCTGATATTGAAATAACGTTGCTTCGATTTGGCGTCGATATGTTGTTGGTGAATAAACTATTTTAACGACGTCTTGTGATCCCCGCAGCATTTAGCGGGAAAACTTAATTTGTGAATAGGTTTCATGGAGTCAATTCTTCCGCTAAATTTAGCAGGAAATTTGAAAATTTCTTTAGGTCCCGTGTTGTCAGGTCACGCGACATCAATATTTTCGCAACTCAGCGGGTAAACAGGATGAGTGCTTAGGACGTCTGACGTATATATTTCTATTAAACTTAGCGGTAAAACTATATTGGTCCATAAACCACGTGACCGATTTCCGTTAAATGCTTTCTTTTTTTTTTCTCTTTTTGAATCGGCCTTGTTTGTCGGTCTTTTTGTCACTCCTTAGGCTTAGAGGCACTCTGTGTTTACCTCTCGTGAAGCCCATCAAAGTGGTTCCCAAGAAATAGCAGTTCAATCTTTGATATCGCAAATATGCAGGCCGTGCGGTCGGCGGACATCTGGAATTTTTACAGGAAACATAAAGTGAGCGTCTTGAATAAATGCTTGTTTGGAAAACCAGGTTTGGCAAATAAACGTATCCCTCCTCCGTGATTTATGAATATGAAGGGTGCATTAATCATTTCAAATAAGAAATAACGCATCAATTCTTTATGTAGAAATGTGAAAAAATTCTTACGTTTTTGTTATTTGTTTTTCTACTCTTGGGGGAGTCCTGCCTCTATTTTTAGCTCACTCATCGTGCGCTCCTCAAAACTGTGTTTACTGGCTGCTTTTCACGGTACAGTTCAAGTCGGCTAGTGTGCCAAATATAAAGCTGAAGCTGGAGTAAGACGAGGAGAAACATTTAACCCAGCTATTACTTCAAAAAGTATTAACGTCTGATTTATTCAAAAGTGCGATTCATATCGGTCTAACCATACTTAGAGGTTACATTAAGACGGGCAGAAGCTAGTGCGTCCCCGCGGTCTTAATACCACTTTTCAGCCGGCGAGAGTGCGACATTAGTCCATAAAAACTCCAAGAAATGAATCACTAAGTCTGAAGTGTCAACACTGCAAATTGCGCCCTTCGTTTTGTAGCATGTCAGTGTATACAGCGTCATAACAATTGTCTTTAACTACTACGGGAGCATCTTCCCGTAGCACGATTGCTCGCGAGAGTTTCACTCTCGCGAGTTATCGAGGAGTTCGGACCTAACAGTAAAGAAAATGTACGTAAAATATTTCGATGCAAATTCGATTGCAATAGTTGAACCGATCATATGTAAACGCAGAAGAAAATATATCACTCATAGAAGTATGTTTACTTTGAGTGTTATATATTTGCACAACAAACCACAGCATCTATAGCTGTAAACCTGAACTGTGACCCCCGCATTCCTTTTTTTTTTAGACTATTCAAGTTAGGTATAAGCTATATTCAGTGGAACGATGCGTTAATATCATCCAATAATATAATATTACAATTAGTTATTCGTATTCAGAGGAGGAGTGAACACTTAAAGGCATAAATAAAAAGAGGAGTTAGTCATCTGTCGTCAAAAAGAACAGCTTTCTTCCCACGAATATTCGTCCCCATACTCATGGTCTTTTGTCTAATTACGAAGCAATTGGAAACACGTGTATTTGCTCAGTCTGTCTGTGAATAAGAAAAGATTCCTTATACAAATACGTGACTGCATTCTCAAGACCACATTCGCATTAGCATGCAAAGGGAAATCTACGGTGACATGTATATAGTTCAACAAATGGAGTGTTGTGAACGTTGCTTGCTCTAAATTTCTTTTTTTTTTACGTATGTTTCCAGATGCAGCTTGAGAGCCAACTGTGAGGAGGCAGCAGATGATCCGGTGCACTGGCTTTCCTACAAAACTCAATGCAGTCCGATCACCAATATCTCGCCCTCAGAGGTTCAAAGATCAACCATTCGCCAAGTCAGTTACTTCAAAAATGTTTGCGCTTTTTCTTCCACATCCCACCCTGTGTAATGCACACCGCGCTTTTAGTACCAGTCAATTGGTATTAATGAAGTGAAACTTTACTTCCTATATATTTTAAGAACACTTTAATACCTGGCTTATATTGGGCAATCGCTATTTAAGCACGAAACCTTTATTACTAAAATCCTCATCCGTCTTATTATTTTGCCTGAATTCAAGAGTTTAAAATATTTCATAAATTTATATCCACTTCATAACATTAAACTAATAAATGTTATGAGCACAGAAGTTTTACAATAACTTCCGCCCCTTCATCATTTACAAAAAGTGCTTGCTTGCTTAAGGACGGCACGCGTATGTCACATGGCGCAAAGTGGAAATCTAAGAAAGTAGAGTATTAGTCCAGAAGTAGTTTGCCATGCTTCATAAGATTACAGGTTGTATAAAGTAAAATGTGAATGAATCTCAAGGAAATTTTGAGACATACATATGTGTTATGTGCGTACTAGTAAAAGAAAACTTGTGAGTTCGAAGATTTAAACAGAGCAAGGGTGCACATACAGCCAAACAGACACAGTTGTTATTGTTTTCCATCGTGTTCGTAAAACGTAATCTTTACTGAATTTTTTAAATTTTCCAATGAATGCAGTTAAACGTGAAGCTAACCAATAAGACATTTGTCGACGAAGAGGAATTGGTGTGCATCTTTGCGACGTCTGGATTGGAGGTTGAAACAAATGCTACTCGGACTGCTGATGGCGTCGCGTGCCCAACACCCAAACCTGATGCCTTCTCGTCCATTCCATCCGAAGACCGTAAGCGTATTTATTTGGTCGCGTTAATGTTGTGATGAATTACAGACCCTTGTTGTTGTTTTTTCAGCCTACTTAACGATGAAGTTATCCGTTGGCAGAAATATGACACCCGAGTATTTCAAGTTTTTCGACTGCAACGCATACAAAACGTAAGGACGTACCTTTGATGTTTTGATACTTAGCTAAATCTTACTTGTTTTGGTTAACAGTTTGCTACGCAGTAAATACTTTAATTGTAATGACTACGTGGCCGCATATTTGAAATATAAGTTTTAAACAGTATTTTAGAAGTAAATGAAACCTGATGGGAAAGATCGTTACATAATAATCGACCGGGTGATCTGGTGACTACAACTTACGCGTTTCTCATGACCCAACAGTTTTACTGCATTATGTGAATAACATCGCGTTCTAGAAGAAACAAAGGCCTACACTTTCACGGCTGTATTAATTTCCGGTCGCCGATCTTAGCCAATACCTGTATTCTTATGTCTGTAAACAAAGTTTCTGCAACCAAATGAAATATAGCGTTTTGAGGCACTTAGTCACAAATACGAAAATTATCGTGAAGGCGTATGCGAAACAAAAGCACCGTCATTGGGAATAATAAATCAATGAAGTTTTTAACTTGTGGTCACTCTACCATTCGTTCTTCACAAGTCTGGCCAAAAAGTCCTACAATCATTTTTCGCCTAGGTTATTGGTTTAGTCATGTAGCATTGATCGTTTTTGCTGAAACAAATACAAAAAGATCACATATCATAACCAAGCGCACCGAAAGTTTTTGTGAGAATGGCCGTAGTGACTCTCTTCTCCCTTCTCCGGATTGTGTACCTGAAATATAATTTTAAAAGGACACTTTGCAGTTTCTTTTTTTTCTATTCATGGTGAACAGTTTTTTTTAAATATCAATGAATTATAAATCTAGTAGCCCATATGACACAGGCACTGGAGAATACATCTCACATTGTCCAAATCACAAAAAAACGTATTAGTGTGTTTTCTTACTCAAAAAAAAATAGTTTTTAAACGGACATATAGCATGCTAAGCGTAGAGATAATTGTTAAAGTGGCAGACTTCAGCTTTGTGTATGCCAACAATTACAAAGTGCATCTAAGTTCAGCCGATATATACAAACCCCTAATATGTTGGCATGCATAGTTTGTTGTGCCTTCAAAACAATAGTTTTTTATTGTGTACTTGTGAACCCCTGCTACATAGACTTTTCTGAAAAACAAACTAATGGGGCAGGTGAAGAATGCAGAAAACGCCTTGCACATTAGATCAATTGAGCCATTCTTCTCTTTGAAGACTTGTTGAAGATGGGCACCACGAAAGGCGATCCTTACACGTAGATAGCTCAAACTCATAAGTTTCAGAATGAGTTAACTGCGGCATTCGAATTTACTATATTGAAGATTTATTTTTTCAAACGAATGCAAACGGCTAGCAAAAAAGCCTCCTTTTCTACAAGTTTGTCCTTCTTGTGTTACATTTCAAAGACAATTTCGAATACACGAATCGTCTTAAAAGGTAATAGTAGGGCATCCTCAAGTACAGCCATAAGAAGGAAGTTGAAAATGCTGAAAAAAATATAAACTTGATCACTAAGCATAGTTCAATGACAATCTTTCTGTACCGAGAAAAAGCCGGCGATGGCTTGTCCGCGCTGCCAGCGTCGTGGAGTGTTTGTGTCGCCTGTCTGACTTCGTACGCCTCGTCAGCAGTGTAGTTTATGAGAAATACATTACAAACTATTACCTTTGTTCTTTCGATTACCATTTTTATTTCCTAGATGAATTATACGCCAACAAATATTTTATTTTTTTTATTTTAAAAAAGAGACGTTGATGTCACCGATATGAACTATTTTCTTATACAAATAGAAATGTCCCGTATATCCGAGCACCTGCGGGAACGTGCACGCACCATTAATTGCATTGCACATCCAAAATTTTGCCTATCTATACAAAACATTTTAGGAGCGTGGAAATCGTGGTTTGAATGGAACAAAACTGCGCCATTCATAGCCTTCACAGTGTCACCTAAACGGACGACATACCGACTGTCCTTGCATTGTGAAGTCCTATTCACACATTGGCGTTTGCTAACGTTTTCTAGAGTGCGTACACACACACGCGACCGTTGCTTAAAATCTCCCAACAGACCCACAACGTTCGAAACATTCTCACAACATATCTACAACACCCCAATGTTACTTGGGATAATTAAAACAGTTTCACAAACTTGTCTGCCAAAAGTCGAGGTCACTTGATGTGACTTATTTGGAATTTTGCTCCTTCTGTCAGTAGCAATACATAATTCGACAATTGCTCAATGTAGCACAGTTGTTTGGGCTAAAGTCTAGCTTTTGTTTGTGTAATTAGGGCTTCGAAATGTTCGAAGAAGCCGAGGTAGAACAAAACTTAACTGTCTTTGACCTGAGTCTGAGTATCTGGGCCCTAAATCGCGAACCAAGTGCCAAAGCATGGCTTTACTGCCTGGGCTTCAACCGTATTCTGGCATCTTTTGTCGATAAATTGCCAAACAAGTGCCGGAGTTAGGTATCAATTCTAGTTCTTCGGTTTTCACCTCGCGACTTTTTTTCAACAAAATTGCCAAACAAGTACCAGAATTAGTCTCCACTGCTGGCTGTTCGAATAATACGTGGCATCTTTGGATAAACCCTGCCGTAGAATGCAATAGAAAGCTTAAAATAAAGTAGTGTGGCACTAAATAACGCCTTGGCGTGAATCCGTATAATATCCAATTTAGACCCCTGAGATCGCGACGCGTGTGACTAGTTAGGCGGTTCTCGGCCGTGCAAACTAGTTAAATGCAATGATTATTTCGCACTAGTGAAATTGACTTCGAGATGGCCGCGTTCCTTGTGGTGCAACTTACGATACTTACCGGTCTCGCTCAGTGTTCACATTTTTCAGATGCACGGAGTGCACCTCGACTGCATCCCCCTGCAGTTGGTGCATAGAGAGACACCTTTGCACACACAATAGCAGTGAAAATTGTCACAACGATATCACTCTCACATCTCCGGTGAGTGTTGATTGCTGCATCCAATTCATGTAAAAATAGTGGTTAGTTTTCTTAGAAACTGTTGTTTTCACTTGTTTTATTACTCACTGCTCATTCAAGACGCAAGTGACCTTAGTATTAGGTTTCAGTTGGCCCGCGATTGTCTCTTTGGAAGGCCTAGATTACATTTTTTTTAATAGTTTAGATGAAATCAAGAAGGCTTGACCTCTCGTTTGCATCGGGTTGACTCCTGGTGATGTATAAAAATGACCAAAATCACCAGCACTTGAGTCACAGCACAATTTCAGAACATTTACGCTAAATATCAAATTAGCTGAATTGGCATTTAAAAAAAACCAGAAGCAAACGTTTCAATGTGTTTGTTCATTATCAGGTGGTCACTCAGGTACCTTTCGTATTTATCACCTGGGCACCTGTTAATTAGAGATGAATTCGCCGGAGAAAAATGTACGGAAATACTCCACCGCTTTATCAAGGACAACGTTCATAACTGTGTGTAGGATTTGCCCCAAAGGTAACACTCTAACATGTTCGACCATTACCTTTCAATACATCGTCTCAGGGCGCAGGTCCCAGCATTCGAGGAGGAGCCGACCTTTGCCCTCGAATACGAAAATCTTCAAGCAGTTCCAACGAAATCATAGTGCCAAAGGGTACGACCCAAGGGATTCGAATTCAGGTGGAAAATATTCCGGTGAGGAAATTTGGTTTAATACACATTTTTATGCCACTAGAATTAAAGCTCAGAGTCAAAGGAAGAATTTAAGTACTTTGGAAAGAGAAACTGCCTAAAGGTATAGCCACCGAAGAGTAAGATCGATTAACCTGTGTTCGAAATATAAATGCAACACCCACATCAAGTCTCAGCGCAAAAGCTATTGAATTTTTAATACATTCAAGAAACTGCAGTTAAAGTGCTTTAGTACAATTCTGACTGCAATGAAAATCTATTGGAACTAAGAAACTTCTGCCATAGAAGAATTTTCATTAAGGTTCACAAAATTCTTTACATACATATATGAGCAGAATAAAATAAAGTGTTGACAGAATTTTTACGATTCGGTCGTTGTTTCAGGCCTTTATGATACAGTCAAGATTTGTTTGCCAGTTTCTTATCGAAGGAAAAGTAAAGCAAGTCAACGGCCAGCTCCTGGGAGACAGCCTATACTGTGGAAGAATTCCCGTACGTATGATTCGTTGCTTAAACATCCTGGGGCTCTTTTTCTCAAACTTTTCTTGGTAAATTAAAACATCTTGATCTAGTCCTCTCTTTGTCAGATTGAAAATTAACCCTGTACTGTTGTGATTTCAGTTCAAATACAACTCGGATGACGCAAACACGACGACAAAATTCGCAGTCATTTGGGAGGCGAAAAATATCCTGGACAATCCTGATAACATTCATGGTACGGTTTTTTGAAGTTTTTATTGCTTAAATAATGAGCCATCTTGATAATAAAAAGTAAAGTGTGAACGTGCACGCTGAGGTAGAACTACAATAGACACCTAACTGATATTCATTTGGAAATACTTGGCGCTTGAATAACGTTTTTATGTTGTACAAACCATCTGTAATCAGACGAATTTCATGCTGAATTCTCAGCTCTGTATGGAAATACAATAATATTAAATAATACTAAATAATAACAACAATAAATACAAAACAATGAAGACGTTTTCAAATCTCAGTAACGAGAAATTAGAGAGCAGCTCTTGAGGAGGAAAAGGGGTGGGTACGGAGGGGAGGGTATGTCCCTCCTCCTCCTCCGTACCCTCTCCTCCACCCCTCCTCCTCGAGTTCTCCTCTACTCATTGTCTTCCCCTCCTTTACTCCTGCCCATCCACCTCCTCTCCTCTCCTCTTCCTGCTCCTCTCGCCTCCTCCTCCCCCTCCTCTCCTTGTTGAAACTTATTGTATGGAAGCGGGCATCCCGACAAAGGGAAAGAAGAAGCGGGAGCTCGAGAAATAGAATGCACGAGATGGATCGAAGCCTGGCCATGAGCGGACGATTCCGGACATTTTAATGTAAATATTTGTATATAAATGCTGTTGTTGGCTTCATCTACTAACGACCAGTCAGCCGTTCTTACAACACTCCTCTCCTCTTCCTGCTCCTCTCCCTTCCTTGTCCTCCCCCTCCCCTCCCCCTCCTCTCCTCTTTCTCTCCCCCACTACTCGTCCTCCTTTCTCCCTCCTCCTCTCTCCTCCTCCTCCCCTACTCCTCCTGCTCCTCTCCCCCCCCCCTCTCCTCCGTACCTTTTCTCCTCCTCCTCCGCACGTGACACCGAGTATGTGACGTCATTTTACCCGCTAAATTTAGCGGGGAAACTGAATTGGTGTTGCGGTCAGGCGACGTCGATTTTCGTGCTAAATTTAGGGGGAATTGAATAGCCGCTGAGTCGACATGACATCAGTTTTTTCCGATAAATCTAGCAGAGAAACCCAATTTGTTCATAGGTGTCGTGGACGACTTCGCGTGACGCCATTTTCAACGCTAAATTTAGCGGGGAAACTGAATTGGTGCTCAGGCCACGTGATGTCAATTTTCCCGGTAAATTTAGCAGGGATAGATTTACTTTCAAGCAGTCTTGTACACGTTACTAAAAATAAGTAATCGATTACAATTACTATTACTCTTGGCTAAAAAGTATTCGATTAGATTACTTGATTAATCGACGGCAAAAGTAATTGGACATTACTTAAAGAAGTAATCGTTACTTTTCCAATTACTTTATTGTGTGAAGGCACATCTTTAGCGCTCATAACAATGAACTACTTCCAACCTATATTGCACATTTGCACAAGTACTCAAGAAGAAAAACTGGCTCCCTCTTCGTGGTCGTTGCACCTTCGCAATGCGGACACAAGCATAGAATTCGTTTGAAGACGTTTAATGATGTGGGCGTTCGCCAGTGTGTGTGTGTGGGGGGGGGGGGGGGGGGGGGGCGGAGGGGGTTCTAGATCATGTTAAGCTTGAGCAAGGGTTGTCGCTCAAAGTTTGCGTGGTTCATTTTATTATTCACATATGGATGAGCTCGCATGTTATAAAAAAGAGCAGCAGCTCCAGGATTTGAAACGGATCATGTGTAGTATGTTCAGAGCTTGTGTGCTCTGGGCGCGACGCGCCAGCCGGGCAGACAAAGCAGACGAGGGTAGACGAAGCAGACCCACAACGTTTATTACCCTAGCATCAAGTGGCGTAAAGTCCCCCGCGTCTCGCGGCGCACGCGCTTATCTAGATCACGATGCGCTCCTGGCGCCATCTCTTGGTCTCCCCTACATCTCCCCCCGGAGCTCGTTACTGCACTCTAGTTACACAGTTCGAAAGAAAGCGATGTTTACAAGTCCAACCGTCTTGGTGGCTTGATGGCACGTCCATAGCGTGATCGTGTAACACCTTGCGGGGAAGATGCACGATCCAGAGAGGGTGAAGAGCAGCCCGCAGTGGGCAACTGCCCAGGCTGACCTTCTTCGGGTGGTTGTCCTGGAGGCTCTTCGGCAGCAGGAAGCTCGACAGACTCCCTCGCAGTAACGGTCGGCGAGAAGGGCACCAGGTGCCGGCGGTTTCGCTGTAGGATTCCCTTGGGAGTCTCTACGACGTACGACCGTGGTCGTTGGGCAGGGCTCAGGACGCGTGCTTGACAGCTGGCATCCGTGACCCAGACGCTGTCACCTGGCTTGAGAGGATTAAGAGAGCGAGCGTTGTGCCGGCGATTGAGGTCTCTCGCCTGCCTGACCTTATTCCTGGAGTCTTGAGCCCGGAACCTCTCGTGGCTTGGTTGAACTGGTGCGAGTCGCTGCGGCAGAGCAGGAAGACGCGTCTGTAACCGCCGACCCATCAGCAACATGGCAGGAGAGACTCCCGCGACGCCCGGAGTGTCCCGGTAGGTGAGAAGCGCTAGGTATGGGTCTTCGGACTTGTACAAAAGATCCTTCATCGTGCGCACCATGCGCTCTACTGCGCCATTACTCTGCGGGTACCGAGGGCTACTGGTCTCATGCTCGAAACCGTATGACAGAGCAAAGTTTGCGAATTCCTGTGAAGCAAACTGCGGACCATTGTCTGTCCGTACAACGTCCGGTATCCCATGTCGGGAAAAGCAGCTCTTGATAGCCGCGATAACCGCTGAGGCCGACGTAGAGCTCAAGGAGACGACTTCCGGAAACCGAGAGTAATAGTCCACCATGAGAACATAATCACGGCCTTTCAGCTGAAACAAGTCAATGGCTAGGCGTTGCCATGGCCGATCTGGCGTAGGCGTTGACATCAAGGGCTCCGAGTGTACAACCCTTGTTTCCGCACACTTGTCACAGCTGGTGACCAAATGCTCGATGTGGCTGTTGCAGTTAGGCCACCAGACGCTTTCTCTGGCTCTCTCCTTACAGCGGCGAAGTCCTTGATGGCCGTCGTGCAGAAGGGCCAGGACGTTGCTACGCAGAGCAGCAGGAATAACGAGGCGGCAGTCCAGCAGAAGAAGGTCCTCCGAGACTGTCAACCTTCCTCTCTCTTTCCAATACGGCACCAAGTTGGGAGGCAGCTTCCTCTTGTCTGGCCATCCCTCTTGGCAGTAGCGGACGACGAGAGAACATTCTCCATCTTCAGCTTGTCGACGACGAACCTCTTCCAGCCTGTTAGCGAGGGGAGGTGGAAGACCTTTAAATATCTCGCTAGCGAAAATTTCGACGGAGAATACTGTAGAAGAAGACCGGACATCGCAAGGGGCACGTGACAGCGTGTCCGCCGTGGCAAGAAGTCTACCTGGTACGTGCCGAACGTCGAATTGGTAGCGCATCAGCTTTATGCGCATTCGCTGAATTCGCGGTGGCAGCAACTCCAGCTCCTTTTTTCCCAGCAGGGCGACGAGAGGCAGGTGATCTGATTCCACGGTAAAACTAAGCCCACGCAGATACTGGCCGAACCGAAGAACAGCCCAGGTCACGGCGAGAGCTTCCTTTTCTGTCTGACTGTAGCGTGCTTCAGTCGGAGTCAAGGACCTTGAAGCGAAGGCCACAGCACGACGAGCTCCGGACGGCTGATCTTGCAGCAGTACCGCTCCCAGGCCAAATGAGCTTGCATCTGCGGACAGTATCGTAGGATAGCGTGGATGGTACTTTGCCATGCAGGTTTCCGAGCTCAGCATAGCCTTCAACCGCTTGAACGCGTCATCTTGGCTTGCTCCCCAGGACCATGCGCTTGACTTGTTGAGAAGTGAACGGATGGGGGCAGTTACGTCCGAAAGGTGCGGCAGGAAGCGTCCAATGTGGTTCACCATCCCTAGTAGACGGCGAACACCTGCAACGTCCGTTGGCGGAGGTAGCTCCCGAATGGCACGAAGCTTGTCGGGATCCGGCGAGATACCATCTCCATCGACGATGACTCCGAGGAACTTGACCGAGGGAACCCGGAATTCACACTTCTGGTCGTTGAGCTTGACCCCGGCTTGCTCGAGTCGTCGGAGTACCTCAGCAAGGCGTTGATCGTGCTGTTCAAGGTCCCTACCGTAAACAAGGACATCGTCGATCATATTCACGACACCAGGCAACCCCTCCAGGACCCGTGACATTTGACGTTGAAAATATTCGGGTGCAGACGCCAGACCAAATGGCAGACGACGGTAGCAGTAGCGACCAAACGGCGTGATGAACGTCGTTAATTCTTCGCTTGCGTCGCTGAGCTTGATTTGGTGGAAACTGGAGGTCGCGTCGAGTTTTGAAAACACTTTGGCGTCGCCTAGCTGCCCCAGGATCTGGTCAACCGTCGGCAGGACGTATCGCTCCCGCTCGATGACTTGGTTTAACTTGGTCAGGTCGACGCACAGCCTGTACCCACCCGACGACTTGGGGACGACGACAAGTCCGGAGCACCATGCTGTCGGCTTGTCAACCCTTCTGATGACACCTTGAGCTTCCATGGCATCAAGTTCTCTCTTGACGACGTCGAAGAGCGGCAGCGGTATTCGTCTTGGAACGCTCAACGAGTACGGCTGAGCCCCTGACTTCAGACGAATGGTGTACTTTTCTTGGAGTTCGCCCAGTCCTTTAAAGATATGGGCGTCAGAAGATAGAACGCAGCTGACACGAGCGTCGGAAGACGGGACACGTCCATCCGTTTTTCCGGACTCGGCGGAGGTGGTGTTCACAAACTTGACCACGCCGAGAGCTTCTATCGCAGGTAACCCTAGAAGCGGTGTAGTTTGAGCCCGCATGACGTAAAGCTGTTGGACGGTGCGCTTGTCCTTCCACGCCAGAGTAGCTTGGAAAGTGCCCGAAACAGGCAGTGGCTGGTTCCCCGGGCCGATAAGCTCTCCTTCTACTGCGTCGAGCTTGCGAGGAACGCCTGGAAGCGACGGCGGAACGACGGTGACGTCTGCTCCCGAGTCCACCTTGAACCTTGTCACGTGGCCGTTGACGCTTACTTCGACGTATCTTGCCCGTTGCGTACGAACAGAGCAGAGTTCGACGGAGCCCAACTTCTCCTTGCGCTTCTTCGCGCGACAAACTTCTGCAAAATGACCTTGCTTTTTACAGAAATTGCAAGTTGCCTTCCGTGCTGGACAATCCTTGCGGTCATGCGCAGAACGCCCACAATTGCCACAAACTGCGTTGTCCAAACGCTGCTGCCGGTTACGTGCGCGCGACGACGGAGTGGATGACGCAGTCTTTTTCTTCGTCGCGTCGACGTTCAAGGCCGCTGCAGCTTGCGCCGAACGAGAAGCGCGCTCCCTCTCAGCATCTTCGTGCTGGCGTGCTTGTAAAAGTGCTTCGTCAGCGGTGAGCCGTGTGGAACGGCACAGCTGGTCCGATAGCTTCTCGTCCAATAAGCCGACTACGAACTTGTCACGCACTAGGCGGTCTTCTATCTCGGGGCTGTTGTAGTTGCAGCGTCTGATTAGGGTTCGAAGCTCCGTGAAAAACGCGTCGACTGTTTCCCCAGGCTGCTGAGTCCTGCGGTGAAATCTTCGGCTTTCGTAAATTTCATTCGCCGGATGAACGAAGTGTTGAGTCAGCCTCTCCTTGACGGCGGCAAACGGTTGCGTCTCCGGGGTTGGCACGCCAAGCGAAGCTAGTACGGTACGAGCTTGCGGACCCATGCAATAAAGCAACGTTCTTACTTGCGTTTCGTCGCTTGCAGAACGTAGACCGGTGGCGAAGGCGTAGTCCTCGTAGGTTTGAATCCACGTTGTCCATTCGCCTGGGCTCGTGAAGACGAACGGCGACGGCGGTTGAAGCCCCGTGGCCCCGAGGTGGACGCTCTTTTCTTCGTCCGGCATGGCGGTAGCGCTGACTACGAGCAGGTGTATCCCACTTCTGACACCATGTTCAGAGCTTGTGTGCTCTGGGCGCGACGCGCCAGCCGGGCAGACAAAGCAGACGAGGGTAGACGAAGCAGACCCACAACGTTTATTACCCTAGCATCAAGTGGCGTAAAGTCCCCCGCGTCTCGCGGCGCACGCGCTTATCTAGATCACGATGCGCTCCTGGCGCCATCTCTTGGTCTCCCCTACATAGTATTCATTAGCGGAAGAGATCGCCCCGACCACTTCTCAACTCGGACTTGTCACAAAGACCACGTAGGGGAAATGGGGAAATATTTCAACGGCCTTTGTTATGTTTTGCATCCGCTTTAGGCATTCTTCGGTTCTGGTTCTCCTACGGGCTGCGAGTAGGCACCCTAAGCAGGATTTTTTACATTTTTTTTATCTGTGTGTGTGTGTGTGAGGGGGCTAGTTTGAACGAAGGACTTACAAAGCTACAATCTGCTTCCTCAAACTTCGCCCAGAATGGCCTTTGTCACACAATGTGGCTTCCAGGGGCTCCCCACTCCCAGTCCCAGCTCGAAAAAAAAAACAAAAAAACTGACATTCCACAGAAACTGTACATACAAAGAGATTGACCTCGTTTCCTACAGCTCCACAAAGATCTTTATTTTTTCCGTTCGAAAAAAAAAAAAGCAAATTTCATTTTTGTCCGTTCATAAAAAAAAGCGTGTGTCGGGGGGGGGGGGGGGGGGGGGGGGGGTCCCGTGGACAAATTGTAACGGTTACAAGTAATTTTATTACTTCAAAAAGTAATCAGATTACTCTTGTGATTACTGCCTAATAAAAGTAATCAACTGATTACAAAATTACTCCAAAAAGTAATCGATTACAAGTAATTTGATTACTTGTAATGCGTACGGTACAAGTCTGCTTTCAAGGTCACGTGACGTCAATTTTCCCGCTAAATTTAGCGGAGAAACTGAAACTGTTCATGGGTTACGCGACACCTAGTTGAGCGACGTTATTTTCCTCTGATTTGGTGTTGAGGTCACGTGGCGTCAATTTTCCCGCTAAATCTTGCGAAGAAACTGAATTTGTTCATAGTTGGTGTGACACCAAGTCATGTGACGTCATTTCCTCGCTAAATTTGGCGCAGTTACGCCGACTCCGGCGCCAGCGAGGATGGCAACATGGGCGCCGCTCCACCTGGAAGCGGGCACCTAAGAGCTACTCTGTAAAATAGATACATAGTTTTACTCACCAACCAGTGTACAGCATAAAATGGGAGCATGTATAGCTTGTATAGCATAATGTTGGAGACCCTAGATCTAACAGACGTACATGCTTGAGTTTGTTACCGGACATCCCAGGTTTCTTATAAAGTTCCCATTAAAGATGGGAACTTTTGACTTCACAAAAATCTACCGCGTCTTTTCTGTTTCAGTCGTTGTGTACGATTGCGCCAAAATGGCACAAAACTGTGGAGAATGCCATGAGCTACACGAAAAATACGGCTGCGGTTGGTGTCAAGAAAGCAAGTCATGTACAGTGCGTTCCAACTGTCCAATTTGGATTGATCGAACCCATATCTGTCCTGATCCCGAAATAATGCAAGTGAGTACTTATTCCCTAGCTCAAATTATGGCGTGGGAGCTTGGTTGTAGTGTAGGGTACACGATATATATATATATGTATCCTGATTCCGCCGTTCTTTTGGCTTTCGGCGGGTTCGTAAAAATATATATATATAATTAATAAATGAAGATATGCAGATGAATGAACCGTACTTAATCCAATTAATCAAATAATCAAAGTTTTTAAGAACCCACCGAAATCCAAAAGAACGGCGTAGTCAGGATATATATATTTATATATTCTTCTGACCCGCTCATATTCTTTCTATAAATTACTGATATAGTGGTTTTTTGATGACGCTGAGCAAGTTTCTGATTGAAACTATATGTCTATCTTTATTAATCAAGAAAGTTAATTTAGGAATTTTAACTAAGTAGCCAACTGATCGTTACGATTAGTCCCCTATACTATGTCCCCCTGCCCGTTTAACTCACGCGCGGAGACCGCAACAATCTAGCTTTTATGTTTTTTTATCCTGTTATGCTTCAAAAAACACGTATATATATATACATATGTACACACAAACACACACACACACACACACGCACACACACACACACACACACATATATATATATATATATATATATATATATATATATATATATATATATATATATACAGTGTTGCAGGTAACAGTGACAGATTTCCTACAGTTATAGTGTATTCGAGGTAAAAGAATAATTTTTTCGGGAACGCACTACTGGCGGTTGCGGACGTCAAGACATACGGGATACATAATAGTTAGTTGGTTAATAATTAAGAAATACTAAATCTCTTTTTAATTATCGAGAATGGACATATGGTTCCAATTAGAAACTTGCTGAGCGTCATCGAAAACAAAAAATCAGTAATTTTTAGAAAGACTGCACGCGTGAGAAGCGTAGTACCGCGCTAAAGTTACCACTCGTAGACCAGGTCCAAGGCTGGGCTCTGCTAAGAGACGAAAAAACCTCGCGGGTGCCTTACCACAACCGCTAGCCTTGTACTAACTCCACCAGTGCTAACTTTCGTGGACTACTACGCTTCTCACGTGCTCAAAGTGTTTCGGAAACTTATTGATTTAGTGGTTTTCGATGACGCTGAGCAAGTTTCTAAGTGAAACCAAATGTCGCTTTTTAACCATTAAAAAGTTAAGTAGTTATTCTCAATTAATTAGCGAACTAATTAGTAAATGTAGCGCATTTTTTACTACCGCCACAAGGAGTAATGCGGTCCCGAGAAAAGGATCTGTTTACCTGCAATACACAAATTCTAGCAATATTTGTCACTCTTCCATGAAACATCCTGTATATATTAATAATTAAAACATTACATAGGTTACAGTATCGAAGTTCTTTTAAATAATTTAATTATAGGTCATTTTTTTATATTTCGGCTCAAAGGTAGTTAGTAATTCATTACCTGAAGGGGAAAGCAACAACAGTTAGAGAATTTATAGTATATACTACACGTTTATGCACACATACCAGTAAACGAAAGTTATGTCTACTTTCGTTTACTGGTATGCGTGTATAAACGTGTATATAGAGTGTTATGTTAAGCATAATCATTTTTTTTAAACACGTCGTGAAAACTACCTTAATGTGGAGTGTGTGGGTTAGTTATACGGCCAGGGGGACATATTATAGAGGGTTAGTGGTCACTAAAAGTTTAAGATTGGACATAAAATTGGTTGAATACATTTTACTTAATGAATTGGGAGATTGGACGCAATACAAGGTGCAAGCCGTCAAATGAAGCTGGAATATTAAATAAAACGTATTAATTATCTTTTAATTAGTTAAAATAGACAGATGGTTTCAATCTGATATTTCCTGAGCGCCATCAAAATGCACTAATTAAGATTTTCGCAAGCAATCTTTGCGCGTTGAAAATGGAGTAGTGCGCTAAGGTTACCACTGGTGCAACAGGAGCAAGGCTGAGATATAAAAACGCGAATAAGAAAAAAAAAAGCACGCAGGCGCGCGCGTTATTTCGTCAGTAGCCTTGCTCCTGCTGCAGGAGTTGTAACTTTAGCGCAATCCCCTGCTTGCCACGTGTGTCAAGTCTTTCTAATTCATAATGTGGTTTTCGATGACGCTCCACACGTTTCTTGATAGAACCATAGGTTTATTTTAATAATAAAAAAAGTTAATTAAAATATCTTAGTTAACCGATTGCGTTGCAATTAACCTCATGTATCTAAGTTCCCTTGACCGATAATTCACCTACACAAATCGTATTAGTGTACCATTCAGAGCTTTTTCTTAAAACAAAGATGTTAAGCTTTGAACGAAACACCCGGCACTCACATACGCAATACTAATAGTGAGCAGTCAGTACTTGGAATATAAAGGCCACACAAAGTGCGAAAAGCCTAGGTTAGATTAATTACTCTTTAAGTGATGACGTCATCAAGAAACCTAGCAAAAACAATTGTTATATTAACAAATATCACCAGTCAAACAACTTATAAACAAGTCAGCTCTTCACAACTCTGTTCCAGCGCACCATAGGTTTCAGTTAACGATCATGCTCGAGAAGGCGGCCACTCAGGCACCGCCATGTTGGGACCGCATAGCTCCTACCACATCTATACAGCTAGAATACCTAGCTTCTACATACCTTCTACCACGAGAGTACAGCGGCTTGCAACTACCGAAATAATGAACTTCTACTTCAACGCACTGTATCGGTAACACTGCGTGTCATGCTGGAAATTTAAAACTTCACAAATTATCCGGCTGAGCCGCAATCGCAACTGATATTTTGGCATAAGTATTTCAAAAGAAAGACCAAAAGGAAACCTTGTCACAATCTGAGTGCCGTTAATTTCACGAGTAGCAAAATACGAAAAAAACTCATTACTTCATTACAAAATAATAAAGTTTTCAACCTAAGCACGAGAGAGCTGAAAGCATTCACCAGTTGTTAGTTCATCGTTTAAGAAATTAAAGATGCTCGTGTCACCTGGCCAACAGACCAACTGCTACCAGTCTGTATTCACTGAAAATTGTAGAATTTAAAGGGAATTATTAGAGACTTCCTACAAGTTACAAAGACAGAAGCCATACAAGCTGCACCCCTGCACATACTTCCTGTTAGCGCATACAGCCTCTTGGACATTTTGCGATTCGCAAAAGATGACCGAAAATGGAACTCGCAAAATGCGAGCTTCATAATCCGGAGCTGAGTAAATCGTTCCGGACTCTCCCAGGATACATGGTTGCATACTGCTCTGTTGCTTCAGAAAACGCAAAGTTTTATGAAATTTAGTTCAATATTCCAGGGATGTAGAGTACGGAATCCTGTTTTAATGGCCATGGAGTCTCACCAAAAAAGAGGGACCCTTTTTTTTTTATTCTAAAACTGCATGACAGTTATGTCACGATATGTTGCTGCCACGCACCGAATAAGACGCTTAAGGGCCGACATACACTTCGCGCTTTCAACTTTTGCCCGCCTCCTCCTTTTCTATATCCTCTCCACTTTTTGCCTTGCCCCAACTTGCTCCCCTCCTAGCATAGGAGGGGAGAGCGCTGAGGGGATTACCTTCCCTGCAGAAAACTGAGGTTGTGCGTCGGCTTTTAAAAAGCGATTAATATGAGTATAAATTCATTACTGAAACACGGCGCGGGGCAATATTAACACGCGTAGCTTTCAGAGTATTGTGGCTACTGAATAACCTAGTCTCTGTTTGTTGTAACTTAATTATTTCTAAATTTAATGACTCTCAGCTTTCGAATATTATCGAGGCTGGTCTTCTTTGAGGCAATAATTATTTACACGATTTTTCCAGGTGTTGTTCACGAACGCATAATTACTTGAAGTTTATTCCTCATTTTTTTTTACAACAAAATCAATATTCGCACTTCTAAAGCACCTCATACTGCGAAAGTGCCAACGACATTCTAGAAATATTTATTTTGGTGTAAGATGTACAAAGTGCGGAAGTTAGTAAAAGTTTTAACGGTTTGAAACTTAAAATTAGGATGACAAAAGGTTTGTTCTATGGAATCTTAACTGTTTCCTGTGATCTATATAGTAGCATGGTTTTGTTACAAACTAGTTCTATCGTATAACTATTATTTCGTAGCGCATAAGTTTAATAACTCATCGCCGTTAATATTTGATCATGAGTGAAATTGGGTAACAATAATTAAGCTGAATCTATTTCAACCTCTATACTTTTGTTACAACTGGAACTGAAGAGTGCCTAAACCACCAGTTTATTCCCCTGTATTTTCACAAAAATGTACCTGCACTGACATCACTACTCACACGTTTTATTTTTACGTCAAGAGCCAAACTTTTCAATTATTTTATTCAATTGAAAACATGAGAATCATATCTTTAATTACATAGTGGTTTCCAAATGCTTCGTTCTCTACGCATATAAAAACCATGTAAGTGGTGCTCTCCGTGGACATCTTTTTTTTCAATCAACGGGGTGAACGAATATACTCTTTTATTAAAATGTGTCGTTTTCTCACAGTTTTATCCAAATACAGGACCTTTGGAGGGGGGTACTAATATTACCATTGAAGGCGAAAACTTCGGAAAAATGTTCGAGGATATTGAGCAAGGCGTTCACATCTCGCTGGAGATGGTCAACGGGTCCTCTCTTGACGTTCCATGCGTCCCATACCAAGAATTGTATGTGAGAGGTTCAAGGTAAGAACCAAGTCAAGCTCAGTGCTCAAGACAAGTGCACACGCACAGAATCTTTCAATTTGAGTATAACACTATAAACCTAAAAATGTAACCTTTTATAGACCTACACGTAAAAGCAGACGCAAAGATCCAAAATGCAATTTTGTTTAGGTTCTAGAGAGATTGGACAGTAATCTTATGTGCAAGGTAACTTGAGTTCATAAGTCTAAAATTTAATTCATATCTAGGTCACTTCTGTATTCATTGCTACTGTGATCTAAGCACGATTGCCGTTTACGTGTTTGAGAACACAGTGACGCTGCTTGTTTCCGGGATAGGCCTGAATTTTTCGTTTAATACAGTTCGATGTAAAGAATAATGAATTTCGGAACTTCAATCATTTTTAAAAGTTAACTGATATGCACTTTGTTTTCAATAAACACACCTTTGTCTCACCGCATTGTGGTCCTTCCAAATAAACTTGTCAAAAAAGTGCTTCTTAAACAGACATGAATTGGTGCAATTTTTTATAGTACTTGTCCAAAAGAAACATAAGAAAAAAATGTTTGTTTCAGAATTGTATGCAGAATTCAAAGACCCGAGAACATGACACTGGCAACGTCTGGCCCTGTTGTTGTAAGTGTTCAGGACCAGTTTAAAGCACGATCCAAGCAAAAATATACCTTCGTCGTAAGTACATCAAAAACACTTGACTTTCAAATGTGCGTGCATGATGCCCGCATCGCCACTTGTGACTAGGCATGCCGCGAAGCACCCATTGTTCGAGTTCAAGAGGGTTTAAAAAATTCGCAACTTTTGAAGTTTCAAACTTGAGGAGGTCTAAGATATTAAAATTCCAAAGAGTCGAGTCTGAATATTTCCATTTTTTTTTTAAATGAAATTCTTAAAAGTCGTAGATTAAAGAAGAAAACTTCTGACATTGAAGTTTGATAAACTTGAAGATATTTAATTTTTTGAGGGTACAAGTTGAAGATTTTGGTCCAAAGATTGAGGTCTTCAAATTTCCTGAGCAAAACTCGAACCCCACAGTTTCGAGTTAAGTTTTAAAACTTTACCCCGGAACGTTGCGAAGTGTAACGCAAATCTTACTACAAAGGCTCCACATTATATATGCCATATCCTTCTGAGTACTGTGATACTTAAGGTACAAACCGCTATCTACTAGTAATGTATTGCAACTATATTAACTCTACAATTCACTCGTTGAAAATCTCCTCGAAAAAATATAAGCCGGTCCGATGGACGTTCTTTACACTCGAACGCATTCTAAATGCGGTGCTGACATAAAGCAAAAGCAATATATAAGACGAAACACACACATAAGACTACTAGGCTTTCCCAACAGTTTTAGGTTCAAATGTAGATTATTTAGGTTGTATGTCCCGCGATATGGAGAAGACATAGGACACAGGGATAGCATGCGACGAAACTAAAGGTAAAAGATCTAGCAACCAGAATAAACTCGGTTGGCGCCCAAGCTCAAGAAAATACAGATGATATAGTCAAACCAGTTGCGCATCAAAATCACAACATAGCCAGTTTCTTGCACTTTTCTTCGATTAATGCAGATATTGGTCACTCTAAAAGGAAGGCGGCTGGCAACAATAATCAACTGAGTGTCGATCCGGCCTTCATTGTCGTGCGTCGGGGTTGCTCTTTTCTGCTAGCGCTTTTCCTCGAAGAGCCGCCTGTTTACACAACATAATAATAGATTGAACAAACTGAACGTAAGGGCGCAAATGAACTGGTGTATACTGAATAACCAGAGACTGAAGAACACTCAAGGTGACAACAAGAGAAGGAAAGAAGAACGTCTCAAAATACTTTCTCCTTCCCTTCTATTGGTGTCACCTTTCCTATTCCTCAGTTTCGCGTTGCTTCAAAATATCTATAAATTTATGTTCAGAAAAAAAAAAAAAACTGAGGTTGTCCACGACGTTCTGGCGAATCACTCTGGGACAAATTTCCAAGCTCCAGACAACTAAGGGGACGCAAATGCTCACCTTTTACCAAAATCGTTTGGTGCCACGTTAATAAGAGAACTAGAGCTGTACGAGGCGCAAGTAATCGTGTCCCGTGGTGATGCTTGCATCCGTGCGCCGTCTTTGGCTTAACACAAAACTAACTTTACTATCTGAACGTTCCTTCTTGAAGATCCTTAGTTATATACAATATTTAGTTAATCTTTTTACGGATTTTTTTTTATTATAATCACTGTTGGAGTGTTTCAGAATTTCTTCGTTGAGAATTATTTTAGCTTTTTCAACATTGCATGAGATAAAGCTGTGTAACTTTAGAAATGTTATTTTATAATAACGCACTAATGGACCGACCCTCCACTGGTGTAGCTGAGTTTTGGGTTTCCTCTTTTTTTATAGGTAGCAGCCCTCGATTCTTTATCTTTCTCTTCAAGGGGTCCTAAACTCGTCGAACATAAAGTTGGGGCCAAAGTTGACGGAGCGCAACGATTGGACAATCACGACGATGACTTTGCGGTTTTGTCGCCGACGTCCGATCAGCGCGCTCCACGAACTTTCGGCCCCAACTTTATGTTTGACGAGTTTAGAGCCCCCGTAGTGTTAAACAATAGTTGATAGTAGCGCTCTGTCCTATCTGCATCTTCTATTTCTCCTTGCCGTGTTGCGTTAGCTAATTCATCATATGTTTACGATTGCTTCAGCGATGACGGAACATGTACATAAAGATAACAAACACCATGATGGGGCGCTTTTGATGCTGATTATATCAACTCGCAGCGTCCGCTGTGTCTGAACTTGAGGTAAAATTAAATATAACAGCTGGCGCTATAAACTTCTTGAGCGCGAGGAACGAGGCCAAGACTCCGGTGTCATCCCAAAGTGGGACGAAATTGTTTCGGGGCTATTTTCACTTCACTCCAAACATTTATCTATTTTTTTTATTTAAATGTATTACATAAACCTTAGGAGGTAGGTTGGTTCAAGCTTTTTCGAACTTTCCTATGGAAGTTCAAAGCTGGTGAAATGGCTAAGCACCGCAGGTTTGAAAGCTCGAAAATCGTCAAATGTTGGGAACGTTTCACACTTTTTCAGCGTATTACATCATGCATTCAAATTTTTTTTTTAATGTTCGTGTTTGTTGCACTATAGTCGGTGACAGGTCAAGAAGGAAGTGGAAGCACCTCCCACTATTTTCCACTTTAGTAGTGCGAATGCTGGTAAGGAAGTGACCTCCTCTCCACCGTTCGCTTCGCTGAAGTGGAAAGAGGTGGGAGGGGCTTCCACTTCCTTCTTGACCTGTCACCGACTATAGTGCAACAAACACGAACATTAAAAAAAAATTTGAATGCATGATGTAATACGCTGAAAAAGTGTGAAACGTTCCCAACATTTAGAAACCTTCATTTGAAGTTCGAACCTAAGGTAGGAAAAGGTTTATGGCGGTCTTCTGGTGATAAAAAGGCGATTTGACTGGCCGCACAAAGCTCGGGTAGCAAGCTAGGTCTTCTAATATTTCATGTTCACTTGTAATTACTAATTAGGTATATAATTTACTCGACATTTATTCAGAACAAAGCAGAAAAAAAAGGTTTGCTCACCGGAAAACACAAAGCGATTGGGCTATTATGTTAATATTCAAGCTGTTAATCAATACGTTCTATATCCAATGAGGTAAAATGCCTTTTCGTTATAAGTTGATGAGCCTGCATATAATACATTTATTACCATTTTCGTTTTTGTCTTCAAGGACCCCACAATCGTCTCAATAACTCCGGACAAAGGACCAAAATCCGGAGGCACAGATATTGAAATTCGAGGAGCTTTCCTCAATACTGGCAGCACAGCGGAAATCTCTGTGGGCGGTGTGCCGTGTCATTTAACCGAGTGAGTATCCTCTACAATGAGTTACAGACTGGCCCAAGTACAGTCCCTACGACGCTGAAGATCCCACACTGTTAGCAAAAATAACAAGCCCAGACGTGTAAACCGTTGTCCCATAGCGGACACATCGAAACGTGTTCGTTTTACACGAGGCCATCTGTGTTTTTCGTCTGCACATGAGGTGCTGCGTAAACGTAACACGCTACACCGTGTCTGCCTTCCACAAAAACGTTTCGAGCGTGTTCCTTATGAAACATGGCGGCCAGCGGCCGAGAACAGGCGAGAGACGAGCCCAGCGAGCCGCGCGCCTTTCAGCCGAATTGAAAGCACACAGGGCGCGTTAGTTTTCGTTCGATGAAAATGTCTCCAAGCGGCGGACGTAGCACGTAGCTACTTGCAAAGGTACGTACGTGCGTTGCCGGCGGTCGGCGGTGTCGGTAGCCTCAACGAGCCGCTAGACAAAAAATAAAACGAATGCCGAACGCACGTGGATAAATACCTTGAGCAAACTATTTAGAATCGGGCGGTAACTTGCGCCACCTATCGAGATTTCTAGTAGCCTGTATTTAAAAAAAAACGAGTCTGTTAACACTACGAACGACCACGACTACACAGCAACCCTACATACAACGCAGGCAACACCAGTACCACATACTACTCAGCACCGACATGTACACAAACACAACAACCGACACTACGCCCGACACTTCCTATTCGATTTCCATATTTCCCCGCGGCGCATATAAGCTTGACATGTGCGGGTGAGCTCTTCGGTCGCTGACCATTACAGATTTATAGAAGAATACACAAAACACGGCGCAATAGACAGCCGTGTGTTAGAACTGTTTGCATTTAAAAAGTATGGAGGCAAAATCTGTAATGTTAGTCCGTTGCAATAAATAACGATATGTGAACAATAAATCTTAAACCGGTCATGAAAAAGTTCAAATTTTTGTTATATTCTTGCTTAATTAGTGTTATGAGCAGTCCGACTAGCTTGAATCAGATAGGAAAACAAATTATTGGGATTTTGTCATTACGTATACAATAATAAATGAAAATGATCCTTGCGCAAAGCATTTTTTATATATTTTTGTGAAGGACATCCGGACATCCGCCCAACACTTCACTTCCGCTAGTTGCAGTACGGGAGCAGACGCCTTCACTTTTGGGGCATTTTGATGCAGTTTGTTGTCGTATGTCGTGTCGGTGTCAAGTGGAGCGGTAATGCTTGGGAGTTTGTGACCGGTGTTATTCGTGAACACTGGTGTGGGACGCTGATGCGTCTATTCTTTATACTGCCACCACCCCAAAATTTGAAGATACACGGGCCCGTATAGCAGTGCATTATGCTGAATCGCGAGCTCCTTCTCTGTTGACGTCGCTTTCCTGGTACCACTCGTGGATACTGCAAGTGTTTAAACAGTGTGCATCGTCTCGCCTACATCCCCGGTGACGTCCTGTTAAAACTGATTGCTTCCGTCATTTTAGAGTACGCAAGGCAGTTATCTCGTTGGTCTGGTTTCGGTTATAAAAGCAAGGCAAAACGCTCGTAGTTCCCGCCTTCAGTACACGTTGGACATCTTCCACACTTTGACACCGGATAACTAAATGAACGAGGATTTACATTCACTTCCGAGGTTACTCTCGCCGCTTCCTCACCGTTGAGCAGCAGGATGAGCTGGCGACAAGCCGCGGATGAAAGGCTTGAGCATCAACAGCCCAAGCGCACTCGGTGCCGATGCCGGCGACGCGGGTTTCTGTCAACCAGGAGGCCAGCACAAACCGTGACCGTTCCAGCTCTTCGTCATGACACGGTGTTGCAGAGAGCAGGGTAAAATACAGCTACACGGATCACCGAAGCAAACGCGCTGATATCTTATATATTGGCTTGTGATTGCGCCTTTGTAGTAGATCATCTTATTCGTTTTGGTGGAGAGACGCAAACGACGGGCATAACAAAATCGCTTGCATATTCCGCATATCTCACAAAAGCATTTACCCTGTCACCTTGTGAAAAGCGCGAAACACGGAGTCCGCACCGTCCTAAGCTTCCCGTTTTTTACCTGCTTTAGAGCAGTTTGTACCTGCTAGTACAAATGCCTACTGAAACTGAAACAGGGCAGAGCCAGAGAGAAAGAGACGAAGTTGGGAAAGCTTGCTCGCTCTCGAATTTATTAACTCTCAAGTGATTGTACCATAATAAATGCACCAACGCCCCTTCCAAAATAAAGAAAGAGCACTATACGTTCACAACGTAAAAAATGGTCTCAGTGCATGCATCTGTGGGCAGGTAGGAAACCTTGCCCTAAGTTATTCACGCCGCATGATTGACGCAACAAACTCGTTGCAGGACCGAATCATCTACTCAAGCGGTGTGCGTCGCTGTGCAAACGCAGTCCAACACGAAGCATAAAAAACGGCAGATTTAAGACAACAATCCGGAGTCCATTTTTAATTAAAACGACGTAATTTTGTTGAAAACGCCCGCTGCTTCTTACTCACGGTATGTGTCGGGATACTTACACAGTTTGAAACGGAACGAAGGAAGATTAACTTTTAAAAACGCTCGCTGCGTCCTCCCGGACCAGCTGGACCGGATCAGCTGACGACGACGGGCCTATTCCCGTTGAATCTCCACCCCGCAACAAACAATTTGCGCTCCGTGTTAAAAGCGTGGTTCAAACAGACCCGGAATACAAAGCACCGCACCACACACGACGAACGTTTCAGCTCTTTTTCGCATCGCCGGGTTGCACCAAACAGAACGAGATCGCCGAAGTCAACGCCGCGCTGTCGTGAACCTTGGCTTGTGGTTGCGAACTCATGGACCCTGTGGCTCCCTTCGCTTTCAAAACACACACGACGATTACGAATGGTACTTTCCGTCTTCCGGGAACATCACAGGGGCACTTCTCCGGTCACGTCTTCACTATGTGCTCGCAAACTCCGAAGCTCTATGCGAAGCTTCTCGCGTCCCGTCAAACCAAAACAGTACTGGCGCCATGCGCACTTGCCAGATTATCTCCGGTCGAACAAAAACGAGAGCCAACCGGCTCGTGCTTCCAGCGTACATCGGCGTTGCGCTTGCGCTGTGGCCAGATCGCTTGCAGTTGAAGGTTGAAGTAAAAACGAAACCAACTGCAATGTCCCGTGTTCACATCGAGGACACGCTTTTTATATCTATTTTAACTGTTTGGAACGAATAATTAGACCCATGACTTTATTTGTGGTGTGTAAGAAACTGTTATCAAGATCCCTAAACTAAATACAAACATGGGCGACATGAGGGAAGCCGCATTGCCATCGACCAGAAAATGGCGCGGCGGCGAGCACGGTAAGGGCGGGTTTCGCCGACGTTCTGCGACATGGCGCAATTGCTTTTGGTGCATATCTGTCTCCGAGACATGTTTTTTTCCGCGGCATTTGTCTCGACGGTCCTTTCTAAGTGTGTCCCCAAGCATTCCGGTGCTTCGATAGCCGGCAATGCCGCGGTCGTCGCCGGGGGCGATGCGTGTTATCGAGGTCGGCTACACGGTTATGCGTGTATGACCGAACCAAAACACGTTTTTTACAACCTCGCATGATTTCTGAACGAATTATCCGTTACTCATCGTGTAAATTTATGGTAATTTGTGTAAATAGCGTGTTTTTCACCCCAAATATTCGCCAAATACACGGGACTTGCTAACAGTGCAGTCACTGCGAATGGCCGAAACTTCGGAACGCAGAAAAGGGGGGGGGGGGGGGGATACTTGCACGCCTGGAGCTTTCACGCCGCCCTGAAGGAAGGGAAGGGCCTTAGACACAGCGCGCCGTTTCAGTAGGGCTGCGTTATCCAGTTTTGATCCTCTGTGAGCGATATGAAACTGTCCACAGCGCGCACCGAGCCGCTACCGGCCATCTTCTCAGCCACGCGCAACTGGTGGGATTTTTCGTATTGGGGGAGACTGCACAGTCGCGGATGATAGTAATAGTAATAGTAATCTTTATTGACTCAGGAGAGCTGTGCATGGCACCGCGGAAAGGCGATAGCCCGTACCATGGAGGCCCGCGGTGCCACGTCTAGTGATGATAATTATGAGATGATATATACAAGGGGGGACGACGCGGTCTTCTCAACATCGCAAGCACCGTTGCTTGAAGGTTCGGAGTTTGCCAAGACACTTCTACCAGCTGTAAGATGATGAGCGCCAAGGCGAGCGCGTGGCTCCAGAGATTATCAGTGCCATTTAACTTGAGAAAGCTGAGTTATCGAGGCTATGGTGTGATTGAGCGGAATTTCAGCAGGTGTTCTATTGTTGTCGTTGCTCCCCACTTGGTCAGAAAAGGATTCCTGAGCCGACACGAGTAGTAGTAGTGCCTTGTTAAATAAAAATAGTAGCCGCTCATCGTCATTTATTGTGCGAACTTATTATCAAACGCCCAGGAACTGACCGGTCAACTTACCGACCTGGTGGATTTAGCCACTCTTTACTTGGCCTTTTGTCACGGAAGGTCTCTATATTTGGCGAAACCATCATGAGCTCAGCAATAGCTGGTCAGGGGGGGGGGGGGGGACGACATAAATTGAACAGCCTCTGAAGCCTCGATAATGATGGCTCTTCGTTCTGATGGATAGCGAGGTAGGCCTTGTAAGCCAGGGATTCGGCTGACCTTTTCCATATCGTCTGTGAGTGTACACGATGAACAATAAAAACTTGGTTTCATATTCGGTCATTCTGCCAAACGCGTTTAAATTCGGTAGCTTTGTGGGGTTGGTGGTGATCTCAGATAGGGTGGTGACTAGGATAGGATAACCCTTACTCTTAGTGTTTCAGTAAATGGGGTGTGTGGCGCTTTTAGTTCAAGAGGTGCCGAGGGCAGAATTTTGCGCGAAAATAAATTACTTCACACCCTTTTCCCTTCGTGACGCTCCGCGCCCTTTCCTTCACCGCCACCCGGATACAAGCCCTCTTCGCTGAATTTCTCGGGTCACCAAGATAGGGAAAACGCGTTTTCCAACCCTTTCCATTCGCCCTCGTTCTGCGCGCTCTTTCTCCACCGCCTGTTTCAGCTCCTTTCTTTCTTGCTTTGTCTCCCTTCTCTACTCCGCGCGCTATCTCACACCACCTGCTTCTGCTCCTCACATTCCCGCGTGCCGGGTCCGTAGATGTAATAAAGATATTTCGAGAAAGTGCAGGGTCCGTGGCTCAGTGATCAGCCCACTCTACTTCCACGCCGGTGTCCGGGGTAAAATCCCAAATACCAGTTGCAGATTTTTTTTTTCGGGTCGTTAGGGGGTTACGGGTTGACCGAGTTACACATTTCGTACGTACGCGGCTCCTGGTGTTGGTTTACCCTATAAAGCTACGGCTTTGTAGCGCCACGGAAAGAGAATGACATAAACACTCAAACGGATCTATACCCCGTTTCACTTCGAGTCCGACCGTAGCCGACCATATGATCCGACGTATTCAAACAAGCAGCGCCAAAAGTGCGTTGTCACGTCGCTGGTCTTCCTCGTATGTTTGCTCACTCCAGATAAATCCATTAAGCACCAAAAGCAGCACGGATTTTCGCCAAGAATTGGCCAGTGGCTGGAGATGTTCTTTTTGGCCAATCGCCAAAGAGTGGCCATTCACCGGCCAATGCATGGCCGATGGCTGATGGCCACTGGCCATTAGAAAATAACCAGAGAAAAATCAGCACGCTCTTTAGGCTTTACTTTACTTTAGCACGCTCTTTAGGCCTGGCTGAAAAGCGCCCGGCGCGAGGCTAACAGCATTGTCTTTGAGGGTACGGACGATACTTATTTTGGTTAACTTGTCTGGGCATGGTGGTCGAGTCCACTCTTCACTTTACAGCCAACTATCAACATAAAAGGGGGGGGGGGGGGGGGGAGTTAGGCCATATCAGGAGTGCTGACAGAGGGAGAGAAAGAACTCGTAAAAATTGTGTGATCCTTTGTTGTTTTGTGAGGCCTATGGCAACCGCTTCTCTAGCTCTCCATGCCCTCCCCTCTCTGGCCTCCACGAACTTTGGTATGAAGTGAGAATTGATGACCGATCGATAACCCGTAGCTGCCACTTTTTCTCTGACTGGTCGAGTTTTCGGTCATGGACTGTCCGTCGTCTGTGTGGCCATCTCATAATGAGATGTTCAAAATTCAGTTAATTAAGGACAACGGAAACCTAGAGCTTCATTGCATACTTTGCTTGTCGGTAATTTGAGATTATAATCCATTACATTATTGGAGTAACGAGTACAAGTCTGCCTTGATGTCAGGATATTACCCTGCCCTCGTTTGCTCAAAATAGACGTCCCGCAAAATCATTGCACCTGAGCAACATCACCCGCATCAGAGGGACTTTAAAACAATTTTGACATACAAATGACTGTGTTACAAAAATGTTAGACATCCACTAAACGTCGCAGTCCGTGCGCTTACGTATGCGTATAATACTATGCATTGCTAGAAAAACCATTTTCACGTTCAGCCTTTTGTGCTGACGGTACATTTAATTTTTGCTAGTGATAAAGTAAAAATTCTGCCAAGGTTAAATTGAACGGCTTTAATTTGTCAGGATTTCCCGTTTTTGACTATAAAAATATGATACCAACATAATGATCAGTGTGCCGGCTTGTGTTTGGATGCGCTACGAGCTATAGTCCCTTGCAACTCAAGATGGTAGGGCGAGGATAGGACGGGCCGGAGAGGAGGAAGCAGACGAAACGCTGGAGAAGAGAGGGGGAAACCTAGCTCCTTCCCTCTTTAGTCTTACACTCGCCCTACCCTCTTCAGTTGCAATGGACTATAGCAGTGTAAAACTCTACGTGCAATTGTGTGAGGCACGGCATCTTGCCATAGAGCTCGGGGGTCGCTTTAGGTCCAACTGCACGCACTGGTTCTTGGCGTGAGGCCGCTAAAATTATTGGCTGCCAAACGGGTTGAATTTCAGTTATAAGAATATTGAAGGAGTAAAAAATTGCAGAAATTGTTATTTTAACTCGGGTTGCTTGCGCATATTTTCTTGCATTATCACGAATAATAAAACGCATATTATTTGCCTAAAAAAGTGGTGGTGATTAGTGGTTTTTGTTTTATTCTTTTTTCTTTTTTTGCAGGCGGCAAGACGCTTTATTGACATGTAGGACTTCTCAAGCACCCATGGCTGGACGAGAACGGCTTGTGGTAAAATTTGACGACGGTTTGAGAGAGCTTCGAGAGTACATGTTCACGTTTGTAGAAGACCCCGTCATTGATTCGGTAGAGTCTGCCATTGCGGGAACTCCAGCACGCGGAATCCCCAGGTAAGAGATACGAAACCGCTTCCATAGTATATACCAATAGAATGCGTGAAATTATTACGTATTCACTTTTCGTAGCGGAGGACTGACGGTGAATGTTAAAGGACGGAATTTGGACGTCGTACGAGAACCTGCTTTGTACGTAACGGTGGACTCGCAAAGGCATTATGGGGTACGTAAGATATATGTTTTCCCAAAATATAAATAGTTATATTACGGTGCATTGAACGGATCTATTACGTCTGTGTTTATCACCCTATTGCGCCCACCCATGCTTCAAGACTGGCCCCGAGGTGCCAACAAAAGACGTCACCGAAACCGGAGTTCGATTTTGTCGGACGTCACGACCCTGGCGGTTGGTTGTAGAAATGCTGGCGAAAATTGAGGTATTTTAAGGCGTGGTAAACGCACAATTCGGAGACTTGTGCGTTTATATATATATATATATATATATATATATAGATATATATATATATATAGATACATTTCCGTTGACTCTGTAATGTGATATCTCTCTCTCTCTCTCTCTCTCTCTCTCTATATATATATATATATATATATATATATATATATATATATATATATATTACATTACATTACAGAGTCAACAAAAATGGGTAGCCACGGCCAGGAATCGAACCCTGACCTGCGTGGAATGCAAGCGCGATAACCATTAGACCACGAGAGCGCTTTTTCTTTTTTTTTTTTTGTAGGCCACGAGCGCGCTGCCTACTTGGTCAGCTGTGCGCGCGGCATTATTCCCTCTCCACACCCCTCATATATAAATCACCTCCACTCACAGAGACGGTATTTAGACATTTGAAGATTTTGTTGGCTAAAAATATGGTGCTCACCTTTTCAAACAAAAAAAAACCTGATCACTAAGAACTGCATCCCATAACACCATTACAAACATACATGATATTGTATACGCATTTTCCTCAAATGATGGAGTCAATTAAGCGGTTAAAAACATGCCCCACCAGGGTGGCGCTCGTCCTTTTCTGCGTTTGTTATCACGGGCTAAAGCAAAAACGCACAAAAAGGGCCGCAGGCTCACGCCGCGTTCACTGTACGCGATCGCATTAGCTGGTGATAGCGATTCCGGTAGCGCATCAAGGCGGACTCAGGTGGGCCACACATGAACAATAAAGCCCACGTCGGTGTGACGTGGGCATGCCCAATTGGGGCTGCCCATGCAATAACACCTTGGGTCCCGAATCGGTTTTGCGAACGCAAAGGCAGCGCAGCTGTGGGCAAAGGGCAAAGTTGGGCAGCCCCAAGCGGGCATGCCTTACTTGGGGTTGCCCACCTTGCCTCCGTGTACCCCACCGCGGCTATACGGAAACAGTTATTACTGAGGTGGGCTCCACGGAGGCAACGCTAGTGCATACCCAGCTTTGGCTACCTCGCAATGCCCCTGTGGGTCTCAATCCGGCTGTGTAATGGCTGAGTTAGCGCAGAGCTGTACTCCCCGGCAGCATACCCAACCTGGTGTGCCCATGCAATGCCCCCTTGGATCCAACCTCGTCTATACGGGGGCAAGTTTAGCATAGATGTAGGTTCCAAGAGAGAAAGAGGAAGCATGTCCAATTTGACTGCCTATGCCACTGCCAAACAAGCAATTTGCGGTTATATTGAGGATATCTACTGCATGTTCTAATAATTTGCCTTAGAAGATCGGGTTTCTCTGATGCCACATCACCGAAAACGTAAGAAATAAATTTTATGACTCAAAATGTTTATTACGAACTTACTAATCAGCGTATATGCAAAAACATTCCGTTGCGTTGGGTCTATTTTTTTAGGCACAGTTAAGTTTGGGAGTGAATTCGAAACCCGCGCGTCGGAATGTTGTGACCTGTTCTAGAATTCGGTGTAGTAGCCGGATCAAGATGGCTATTTATCCCGATTTCAGTTTCAAGATGATTTAAATGAAGATGTGCGCCATTTCCTGTTTCATTTCGTACACTTGAAATGTCCAACTCTCGATGGTCTTCCTAATTACGTCTCATTGATCTAGCTCGATACATAAAAATGGCAAATATCTTTTTAGTACGTACGCGCGTAAAGAGAAAATGTTCAATATGGGATGATCAGCAGTAGCGGACACCATAAAGCGATGATGAAACGACCCCGAAAGTGATCAGGATCCTTGGAGGAGACCTCATGTGGCCTGTCCACGTAGGTCCACTCCGGACCCCACGAGGACTCCCATATAGGCTGCACACCTGAGCCCCCTGTGGCCCCACGAGAAGAGCCCATGCAGGCTGCCCAAGCAGGGCCCCTGAGCTTCTCCCAAGGGCAGCCCAGGTGGGCTGCCCAGGTCGAATTTCCCTTGAGCCCCACTTGCAAAACCAACGTAGGACCCACGTTGGCTGCCCAAGTGGGACCCAGGTCGGCCATCCCTTCAAAACCTACCTCGTGCTATTTCGAAAACGCGCAAAGACAACATAGCGCTACCACGATACATCTTGGGTGCTGCCTGATTGGCTACAAAGCACAATAGCGCAGGCTCCGGTAGGATGTAGTGGGAAACAAAATATAGAACACGTTTTCTTTATAACGTCGCATAAATGTCATAGTTGTGTTTTAGTGTACTTAATAATTATATATATATATGTATATATATATATATATATATATATATATATATATATATTATATATATATATATATATATATATATATATATATATATATATATATATATATATATATATATATATATATATATATATATATAACTGAGAAGAAAAAACCCTTAGTGAAAAACAGCAACAACGGACGATTTAATCTTCGACGTTTCGGCCGGAGTCCGGCCTTCGTCAGGAAGTCTGACGAAGGCCGGACTCCGGCCTTCGTCAGGAAGCCTGACGAAGGCCGGACTCCGGCCGAAATGTCGAAGATTAAATCGTCCCTTGTTGCTGTTTTTCACTAAGGGTTTTTTCTTCTCAGTTTTATACCCACGCCTTCGGCCTCCCGCCACCATGCCCGTTATATATATATATATATATATATATATAGGTAAAGTAAGGTAAATATAAAAACAATGGACCGGGAAAAGTTAATAAGTGAAAGATGCGTACTGTCGGAGTTACTAATTCGAAGTTTATTACGACGTTTCGAGCGGGGACCGCTCTTCATCAGGTCGACTTCGAATTAGTAACTCCGACAGTACGCATCTTTCACTTATATATATATATATGTGTGTGTGTGTATTGCCGCGTGCTGGGCCGAGAAAGGAACGCTCGGACACAAACATGCAGAATATTCGCGTTTATTCTTGCGCGGGACGTGGCATTTACCGTTTCATCCTGGAGCCCTAAACTCGTCAAACGCAAAGTTGGAGCCGAAAGATCGCGGAGAGTACCGATTAGGCGTTGGCGACAAAAGCACGAAGTCATCGTCGTGAAAGTCCTATCGGTGCGCTCTGTGCACTTTCTCGGCCCAAGTGCGCGACGCTCGAACCTTCTGGGACAAATTTTTGATATAGTGCCACATACCAGATACGTAGCTGTGTGGTACCCTGTCGAGTCAGTCTTGCTCTCGCTTGCTGTTACGCTGCCAAATTTCCAACCGCTTTTCTGCTGCCTCGACGCTCGTTCTTTATTTTGTTTGGCACAAGATCGGCGATTAAACCTTTATTTTGAGTTCACTGTTAATCATCTCTTCGCCTTCATTCTTCTAAATATATATATTCGAATTCAAACATTATTGGGTCGAGTATCCGATAACAGACTGTGAGCTTCTGTGCAGAATACATGCATAATACGTATTAGAAACTCTTGAACGCCTGAAAAGAACGAAGTTATTCACTTTCAGTATTTTTTTTTATTTATTCCGGTGAAACAAATCGAGTAGCGGTTATATGGGTCTGTATGGTTTTTCCAGTAGAGCCATTCAATTTTATTTGTATAAAGGCGTAATTTTTGTTTCTTTATTTGGTTCAAAGAAATGTGTCCCGGAGTCGCCCCAGCACCTGAAGTGTCGGAGCCCCGTAGTTTCCAAAGAAAACCTTCACTTTGAAGAGGATCCCGCCATTCCCTTGGAACTGGAGTACGGTGTTCGTATGGACGCAGCTGAAAGCGGACAGAATCTGGTGGCGAACAGAGGCTTCAAACCATTCCAGATGTTTCGCGATCCATTATACCTTCCTTTTTCTGAAGATGGACACGTTAAAGAGTTCAAGAGTGACTACCTGACGATCGCAGTGAGTCTGAAAAGTCTTCAAATACTTCTTAAATAATATTACGGCCTCGTCTTTCAAAGAGGTACCACCCAAGATAAACATTTTTCGAAGGACAAAGGCTTTACATTTCCCTGAGTGCAATTTATCACTGAATGTAACATATCGTTTGAGCAAACGGCAATATAATGTAGCCCAAAACAAACGTTCCCAATTTTGTCTGCACTCTCCAGTGGGGTGATTTCGCACGTTCTATAACTAATTATAATATGTAAATACACAATAAAACAAAATAAAACAGGCAGTATAACTATAAATAAAAATATATTTGGCGCCTGTATTTTTGTTCCTTTTGTTTTGCTCACCTAAGTTTAAGTAAAATTTGTTTCGCGAATTCAAACGTACTTTAACACGTCGGCAACAAGCTGTAATTCTCCATATTGAGCCTTTTCATGACACCTGAAAGTCACGTTTTCAGTGTTGTCTGTAGTGCCTCTGAGCGTTTCAGACCAAACGTAACACTTTAATAGTTCCGCGAAAAATATTTTTGTGACTTCCAATCTGCTCAGAAGTTCCAATGTGTCCATTAATGTTTCGAGCAAATTTAGAGGCAGATCAGTTACTACCAACATGTTTGAGGACCTCTCTTTACGTCTGTAAAAATGACATTCATGTCAAAAGAAAAGAAAATGGTGTCCACGAAACACAAACATCGCAATATTTATATGGTGAGACAAATATTCAGTTACAGGCGATTGCGAAACATGCTTACATTTCAAAGACGTCAACCCAAAATTAAAAAAAACAACATATTTAATATTTTATTCAACTGAAATATGTCGCTCAATGTGAAATTTTCACCATTTTTTTTCTCTCGATATGGTCATTTTGTTTAGAGTCTAAGCAGGGGGTATTTATAAAACATTTAAAAATTGAGTGTGGAAACAAGCAGTTGGTTTGCTTGACAAGACGCCTTTTATTTTGTTAAAGACGCCACTGCACCCTTTCTTGCTTGTGCGAGCACTCCCTCCCTCCCCATCTCTAATGACACATACCGTGTTTAAGACATCCCCAAAATATCAAAGAAAATTGTGACCTGAAGCCAAAAAAAAGTACGCGACAGAAAACTGTCACTATACACAAAATCGTCTCAAAAATCCATCACACATCGAACGGACTTCTGTACAGCAAAATTTGACAAGATATCGCCTGCCGAATTTAGCGGGCGGTGATCACGCAAGGTTGTAAGCATGACGGTTGTCATGGCACGTGAACGGCGAGACAGTAGTCATGTGATGGTATCAGCATGATCAGGTCAAGTAATCCTGTTTACGTGACCAAGTAACGTGTAGTCAAGCAGTGTCACGAATGCCACAAGATGACATTCTGGCATTTCCCTACTCCAGACGCGTCATGGTTTCTCGTCGTGGCGCCAGTCACATTAAGTAGCACTATATCGTTTGACGTGATGTCACATGACATGCTGTTGCCCCATGTGGCATTATCCAGGTCACCTATGTACGTCGAGCCTACCTGAGCTCACAAGAGCCCAGACCAGCTGAAAACAGGTTGTGCATACCGAGTCTTCCTGCGTAATCCTTAAGATTAATACAAAATTAAATTTGTTTTTCGTCCGAACTATATAATGATATCACATCTCCGCCATAAATATTTGCATATCTTAGAGTATACGTTTCTGCATACCTCCTAATGTACACGTGAGCGCGATATCGAGAGAGTGCTTGGTGGCAGTGTTGGAAAAGCGATTTCGTCAGACAAAAGAATCTGCAATCTGCAATGTGAGATTGGGCATGACGTTTCACATGTTAACATTATGATCAGTTTCACATCGGAAACTTCGTACGAAACGAAGACACTTCGTCGTTAGAAAAAGTAATTTACATATTGCGAGCATCTTCAGCTGGCTCATCCGGATTTCATTGGTTACCTTCCGCTTGTCGATCGGTGGCACTGCCGGTTCATGACTGGGCAACACCACTTACAATAATCAAAGCTTGCGAATGTCCTCTTTTTTCTTTCTGGAAAGTCGTCACAGCCGGCCATAGCGCCAACTCAAAAATTGGACCCGAGCCCGGTACCAAAGCGTCCCTCGACGCGTTGCTTGGAGGCGAGTCCCAACCTAACGCTCAAACAGCACACATGTTCAATCTGTGACTTCTAGATCATTAGTCAACTCAGCTAAAGTACTGCCTATACACGATCCTTCAACGAAAGGTATATATCCCCCTCTCATCCCAAGGTCCGTTTCCCGCTGCTCTACGTGCCACCGTTTCTTGCGGGGATGTCGAGTATGGTAAACACAGTTACGTAGCTTTTGAAGCACAGCGTCTAGATGGCGCATCACCGTAGCGGCTCAAAATATTACTTCGAAGGTAGCCGTTAGAAGGCGCCTCAAACAACGAGTGGCGGTCTTAAAAACGGACGTGCGCCTCAAGCTTTGCACTTTTCCTTACTCACACCTTCCCGCATCCTGTTCATCTTTAAACTTGCCCCAGCGCGGCTCCCCTCGCACTTTAGAAGAGGAAGGGCGCTAAAAAAATTGTCTTCCGTGCAGAAGACCGTGGTTGTGTGTCGGTTTTAAGGAAGAGAAGGGAAGGGGGGGGGGGGGGGGGGGGGGGTTAAGGGGTACCCGCTCCACGAGAATTCACAACCTAGTTGAGTTAGTGACATTAAAGTCTGTCTCGATCGCACTCTGATGACGTCAACATTTGAGAGCATAGGATTTCATTATTCTGGGGGATGTTGGCCTGGATCCCAATCACGCCAGAACCATCTCCCAAAATCGAAGTCTCAGAGAAAGGAGTTTGCCCCAGTTAAACCCAGTCCCTTCTATTTAGCTTTGTGTGCGTCGCTACGCATTCGCTGAGCACACGCGCCGATGCCGACTCATGGAAAGTTAGTGTCAGCATCGTTAGCCTTTCCGGCTTTGGTATACATAGGCCTGATGACTTGACGAGTGTGATAGCATCTAGCGATGCGCGATATGGAGTGTGCCTCACGGACTGGTGATAGATAGTGACTTCTTATTCCGATATACTAGCGCAATTCTGAATTACTTTCTACCTTCCTACTAGGGAAGCCACCTAATCTAATTTGACTCGGTAGAATAATAGACATCACACTTTGAATCTCGATAACGTTAGTAATATACCTATTTTCAAATCGGTCTGGGTGTTGAATACTTCAGACTAACGGAGGGGGGTTATTTCAGCTTTATTATTGCTATAAATTTGGTTTCTTCGTCACATACTGGTGCTCTCGGTTGGACACTTGTCTAGACAGTTGGAGGGATTGCGGACCGCCGCAAGTGGTCAGAGCCGAGCGTGGCCTTATTTCCTTTCGAATCGCAGTGCGGCGTTGGCAAATAACGGTGGCTGATAACCTCGCCAACTTTCACCCCGAGTTCCTAACTTTGAGCCCATGGTAGAGTGGAAATGATTTCTAGGTGCGGGCTACGCACTTTGTGATCAGCCTTTTTTTGGTCATGTTTTTTTACGGTTTGCTTCCTTTCTTAGGGAGATAACCTAGATCGGGCATCTGAATTTGATGATGTGGTTGTTCGAGTCGGAACAGCCCTCTGCAACGTTACATCGTTGTCACGAACACAACTGACGTGCCGACCCCCTAAAGAGCAACCAGCCGGACTGGATGAGAGCGGAAATCCAGACACGACGCAACTTCCAGTCGTCGTCGTAAGTCTATTTCAGTTCCAAGGCTTCCATCTAGTCATCTTCGACTGTGATACGTACAATGCGACAGGATACATATATATTAGCAAGGTAGCGTCGACGGCTGAATGCGTCGGCAATTCTCACGTCAGAACTGAAATGATTGAGATTATATTAGAGGTATGCAGGTATGGGAAGGAGCTCTGAATGGCGGCACTGGTCTTCCCCGTGTGTTTAAAGCCTGATATGCTTATTACCGAGATCCCCAATTATAAAAGTTTGTCTATTCATATGTTTGTTTTTCCATGCAAACATAAGAATGGAATATGACTTCACGTGACCTGACCTATACACCCATACAATATATCCGCTAAATGTTCCGCAGAAATTTGATGTCACGCGACGAAACATGACATGATATTTACACCAATGTGATTTCCCCGCAAAAAAGTAGCGAGATAATTGACGTCACAAGACCTATGAGCCAAGCCAGTTCCGCCGCTAAACTTAGGACGGAAATTGACATAGTTATTGGTTGTTTACACCCCAAAACGGCTGTTTAATGCCTTTTACACGAATATAAAAGATCACTCTTTGAAGCCCTATAATAAATATTATGCATCGCAGGACTTTAAAAATTGAAAATACCTGCCTTGTTGACGTGGATAGAATTCTATTGAATAAATCGCGTCTGAGAATTTATTTTATTGGGTGTTAGTGATTAGAACACCAAGAATAATGCCGGGTTTGTGAATACGCTCGCTGCAGTGCTGACGCTACTCATTTACAAAACAAATGTAAAAATAGGTCCTTGCAAGTGCATTCGTCATCACCTTATTATAGGCCTTTATTTGGAATTCTCTCCAACATTAGGAATTTAATTCGAGATTTACGCTAAAGGAGGAAACTATTTCACAATGGTATGGAAATGAAAACCACTGGCAATTGTTTTGCTCCTCCAGCTCCCGTCTCGGGTTAAATTCATCATGAAAATCTTCCACCAGCTCGTTTGCACAGTGATCTGTATTTTTGGCTATCCAACATACAACGTGAGCACGTACAGCGGCGTACCTAGAAACCCACCATGTGCCATGATGAGTTCTTTTTGCCATCGCGTCCTCTGCGACACGTTGACAACTTCATTACAACCATAAAAAAAAATTGGTTTTATACTTATCTTGCTACCCGTATCTTTTAAAAGAAGCTCATTGTAACCTTAAAAGCATTTCCTTTGGTGCGGTCTACTTTTGAATATTTTTAGTGTCCTTTATAGTGTTCTGATATTTTCGTTCTAGTTTTGTTTAATGTGCACACTACAAAGCCAAGAGCTGTTTGTTGCGTTTACAGAAAACATAACAATTCATACCTAAGTTGACGTTGCAGTCAATCAAAAGAGGGTTGATCCGCAACTCTTGACGGCCGATATTGAAGAGACGAAGCAACTCAAACCGTAGAGAGCGTTTACAATTCATTGGCGGACGCCTCCTGCGCAAATAGGTTTCAAGCGCGCGTGCTTTGCATTGTCGCGGGGCAAAATGGAAAGCGAACAGAGAGCAGGAACCACGTACAGACGATGAACACTTTCGTCACCTTTTCGTAGCTCGTGCTGTAAGCATGGCCCATAAACAACGCGATCGGTAATCTAGGCATACCACGCAACCAACTGGCCCAAATTCACACCGTGACACACTATGCAACTCCGAAGGAGGCGGCGCCATCCAGTGGCAGGGACGTGAATAAGGGAAGTAGAAAGCTAGTGCCGATCCGATTGTGCAGAAAAACGGAAACGGCCTGGTGACCGAAATGTGAAACAGTATAAGGGGATCAGATGCACGCTGTATGAGTTGCCAAATCATCTTGTCACTCTAGGATACATTGCAGTTGAGGGTTTGAGTCATCCAAGCAAATCCAGAGAGTCACGTTTAGGAAAGGGAAGATTGCATAATATTGTGTGCACGCGGTACCACTAGCGGCATTTGGGTTTGCTAGTTGGTCACTTACTTCGTATCTTCGACGGTTGCTCCATGTAGGGCTATGCAGATAAAAGTTGGGTTTTGTACTGAAAATTATTAAAGTGACATGGAACAGCAAAATGTCATGAATAGACTGTTTATAGTCATGCCAGATTCTCGTTTAATCGGAATACAAATCGGCTTCACGAGTCGCTCGAGCTCATGAAAAATTAAACATATAAAGTGGTGTGTTCTCTTTCTACCTTAATACCTGTCAGTAAGTGGTGAGGTAGGAATAAAAGTTGCTAAAATTATGCAGTTGTCGAAAATTTAAATTAAAATCTACATTCTTCCCTAATTTTGTGGTGTAACTTGTACCTGTATTGTTCAGACTTATTTAATTACGCTAATCACAAAGCACGCCAGCAAGGCTATTGTGGATTTTTAATCTTAAAGAAATCGCTGGACTTCCTTTTTTTCTACAACAAAATAGATACTTTCGGTATTCCTGGTTAAACATTTTGCAGTAAAAAATATTTTAGAGCGCAGCTCTTAGGCGCCCGTTTCCGGCTTCAGCGGCGTCGGCGTCAAAGTGGCGTCGGCGGAACCGCGAACCCCCCCCATTCCCGAGGACTTCGGGAGGACCTCGGGTACCTTCGGTGACCTCGGGGAGGGGTGTGGGGGTCACGTGACCCCCCTCGCCGAGGTCACGTGACCCCCTCTCCCTCCCCGAGGTCAAATGACCCCCCTCAGTACCCTTCCCTCCTCCTCCTCAAGGGCTGCGCTCTAATTCGGCTTTACAGGGAGTTGTAAACGGCTTTCGCTTTTTTTTTATGTTACAAAACGAACGAAAAGATAATGTTTGAATGGAGCGTACAATAATCAGAACGTCTTGGCGTAAGAAGTTTTCATGCAATTCCAATTGGTATAGCAGTGACGTTCAAGCTAAAATATGTTATGTCTGGTTGTTTTTCAGGTTGAAGTCGGTGATCGCCTATCGTTCGTCATTGGGAAGTTGAACTACACAAACCTGGGAATACCTGTTACCACGGACACAGATGCTGGTGCCCATAATATCACGTCCGCAAATGTTACCGACCTCAATGTGGAGTGACGAACCCAAACATATTTTGTCGAAGTATTTTTTTTCATGAGGGGACCATTTTGGATTTGTTAAATAAACAAAATGTCATTTCTAGTACAATAATTGTTTTTGGTGAGGAGGTAGTTTACCGCTAGTAATTTCCGAAAAATAATGCATTGTCAGTGTGGATTACGCTCGAAGCTTTTGTTCTACATCAACATACATCGCGCGAACTTCGTTTGAGAGTTTACGTGAAAAGAAAATACTGCAACTGAATTATGTATGGGCGCACGCCTAACATAACAGGCGATATGTCATTTTAACAAGAAACTTGGACTGGGTGAAAATCGCCATGAACGAATGGTAACTCCTAATTTTAACAGGCTCTCCAATAAATAGTGATTTATCTTCTATCTCCTACTTATGCCTGTGAAAAGAAGAGTCGGGAACGGTGAAAACCGGGAAATGTCTACACTGTCTAACATAAAATACAACCTATATAAAATCATTTCCCGCGTATCGACCCCATTATAAAGTGACCCGATGCTTCTGGGTGTCGTGTATTTTCCAAACGCTAACACGACAGTTCAGCAACAACGAAAACATGTTTGGGTGCCTCGATGATGTGTACATGTAAAAGGGTTCATGCAACAGTTTTTGCACTTTCAGTGAATACCGCTAAGAAGTAATCCCTGAAATTGATAGCTTCCAAAAACACCCATTAGTTTTCCTTTCCGCTCAATGGCAGACGCAGAAAAAAATAAAGAAAATATACAACTTTCCCCTGCTAAACTTGATATTAGACGATGATGTAACCTGACGCTAACTGTATGCCGCCAGTGTTCATAGTCATGCGCTGGGGTTAGCAAAGAATAAGGCATGGGTTGAACTTCAGACATTGTTAGTGTTCGGCATTCGTCATCTTTGATTGAACACGAGCAAACACGAATGTTTGGTGATGCAGATGGTCAAGAACGCGAGCACTCGACTCGGGCTCATGACAATCGAGTACGTCTCGGTGTCACATGACCCGCGGCCTGAAGTCGTCATAGCATGTGATGTCGCGGTGCCAGCAACGCTAATACATCTATAGTCCGTTGCAACTCAAGAAGGTAGGGCGAGGGAAAAGAAGGCCGAAGAGGAAGAAGCAGACGGAACGCTGGAGAGGAGAGGGGGAAACCTCGCCCTCTCTCCAGCGTTCTGCCTGCTTTCTCCTCCCGGCCTTTCTGGCCCTCGTCCTACCTTCCTGAGTTGCAGCGGACTATATTGACCTTCTGAATTTAAGTCGACTTGACGCGGTAAGTCATGCGACTACGTCGCGGGCCCACGTGACGTGATATTATTTGACAGCATGTCTTGGCACCATGTCAGGTGACCACATGACAAAAAATTAATCGTAGTGCCAATACAAAAGCTCAATGAAAACCCACAATTTCTCATTCATTGCAATTCGGTATATGACAATTTCATCACTACATAGAAACACAGCTGTTAACTTTTACTCTCAAACACTCATTTTGTGATAAAAAAAATTACCGTGAGCCGTTTACCCTTATTTTTTTCGGTTCTATTCCGGTTCAGTTCCAAGATGGCGGCGAAGATTTCGGTTCGGTTCAGTTCCGGTTCGGTTAAAAATAACGGTTCGGTTCGGGTTCTCGGTTCGGTTCGGTTTCCTGTTCGACGCCCTGCGCGGTGTAATCGACGGCCACTCAAAATATCGCCCGGGCATTAGCACCCGCCATAGATTCGCGGGTAAATTGGAGGTATGGTTGTCGCATGAACTGTTCCCGGAGAGCTCGTTACTCTAGCCGAGGGCAATGTTCCGGCGGTGGACGTTCATCCGAAGATTATTGGTTTTACAGCGAACGAATCTTAGTCAGCAGACGAAAGCCGGTTCCTTGACGAAAGTGACAAACACGCTTCCGTGACGTGATGTCACCCGCCTCGCTGCGACGCTCTTATTGGGTCGCGAGGGCTGTAGCCTCCACAAGTGGCCAGGTTATCGTGAAACGGAGTATATCAGTACGTGCGCTAAAGCCACTCGACTTGGTCGTCTGCGTCCCCATCCGCCGGTGACCCAGGCAAATCTTCTGGCCCTATTTTGTTACAGAGAGGGAGCTACGCTTTGTAATTTTACAAAATAAAACCGACCTGTGAAATACGTGTTTGACGAACATTTTAGATTGCTCCGGGCAGGCGCCGATTTTTACGGTCCATGTTTGATCAAGCGAAATGCCCTCCAAGAAATATATATGATGGTGTTAGATGACTTCCATAATATTTCTTGTCAACCACTGTGCGTATTATATTCTTCAAATTTTTCATTAGGATTACAATTTAAATAGGCTTAGTACATTAGAGTTCACGAGCGGGAGAGAGAAAAAATTACCATTCGTGGAATTTAAGGGTGACTTCTAGTTGGAAAATAAAAGAAAAACAACTGCTTCTTAAGCTTTTTTTTTTTTTTTTTCTTTGTAGGGTTTTCAAAAAATTATAAGCGCACCCCTTCCCCCCTTCCCATTCCCGCTCAAGGTTGGTGGGCGAGGAGGGTGGGCCAGCTTCCACAGCCCCTCCTGCTCCTGAGGCTTCGGCAGAAATCGTTATTTTAAACTTTCGGCCCTGCTGACGGGAGCAGGAAATCTTTACCGTTGACATCAAAGGCAACATCACTACACTTTCCTAGATTGTGCCGAGCTGCGCTTTGCACGCCCATTTTGGACCACCCTTTATTCTTAATAAAAAATTTCACACGGCCTCTTGGAATAAAATTGGTAGCCAGATCGTGAGTCCAACAATTACTCAATCAACGAGTAATGAGATAAAAAATAATAATAGCTTCATATTACGATATAACAAAAAATTGACAAGCAGCTTGACTGGTCTTTAGCCCACCCCCCCCCCCCAACCCCCCCCCCCCCCCCCCAACCCCCCGCCCAGGTACTCAGCAGTCGCGAAAAATGTGCACAAAAAATTATAATATAAATATATAGCAAATAATGAAGTAAAGCAATGAAACAAAAAGCCTACTGAATAATGAACAGCAGTATGCAATGTTTATTTTGAACAAAACATATTCCCAGATTTCACCTGTTCTACGTGAGTTTATATCAAACTTACAGCTCACAAGAGTATTTAGTGATATCGGCAAGGTCCTTTTCATCATCTGAAGACCATAATCTCTGCTGGATGCTTCCACCACCCAGGAATCAGAGTGACGAGTCTGGTCTGTTCTAGGTTTGCTTCTAATTGATAGAAAAAAATAATAAAAAGTTATTTCTTTCACTGCATTCCTGTTCATACTTCTACCAAATCGTAATGTTTATTATTTTAACATATTTAGAACATTCAGCCTCTCAAAACGTTGGTTAGTATGATGACTAAAGACCACACCACACACAATTATGATTATTCTTTCCTGCAGTACGAATAGTTTTTGGAGATCAATCTTGGTTGTCGTACCCCAGACTAGATTAAAGTACTTCAGATATGACAGAAATTGTGAGCTATATAAAAGCAACTCAACTTCAGTTGGAAAGACATGGCGATGTGCGTGTATTATACGACTGACACACGCGAGTATGGAAATGATATAATTCACATGTTCAGTCCAAGTCATTTCCTTCGTGAAATTCACTTCGAAAGTTTTGAACGTTCGAACAATTTCAGTAGGCCAGGAGTCTAATCTAAATATCACTGCGAAGGTCAAGATTCCTATTTTTGGAGGTCAAAAAGGATGCATTTTTTTATTTTTTATTAGGAGGTTATATGAACTAACCGACATTTGGAGACATTTGGTGGTGTCATTAGTTACATGCGACAGCTCATTACAAGTTTTAGCTGAAAAAAAGTGGTGTGAACAATTGAATAACTACAACTTTAAAAAAAATAACTGTTGCGAACAGCTGTATCACGATGAACAATAAATGTTAGGGTTATACGTTCGCCGCTATTGCTGTTATCCTCATACAAGTGGCGAAATCTATTTTTTTTCAGTCAAGATTTTTCAGCGTGGACAACAAACATATCGGCGTCATAATGTGGATCTCCGTCGTTGCTTTGCTTCCAGTGTGAGCGAATGACATTCTCAACATCATCTTTGTATCTTGCTCTTGACTCGACCGGAAGTAGTGGCAAAAACGGATGGACAGCGATATTCATTCCTAAAACAGAAAAAAAACTTCAACGATTAACTGTTTAATTAACCCTGTAACAGATTGACCGTATTATTTTTTTTGGGGGGGGGAGGGGGGGGGGGGCGGGGGGGGGGGGGGACACTGCGACTCACAAAAAAATATAACGGCTGTTTTTTAGTCTGTACAGGGCAACTACAGCATACTAGAACACGGGAACACGGGGTAGTGTTTGGACCGGCGCGTCTAGACAATGGCAACTTGTAAGGCTGCGCGTGTGGAAAACCATCGCGGCGGTGCAGTCGACAGGACAGCAGAAAGTCGCCGCAGTCCGCACATGCCACCGCACGTGTGTGGGCACGCGGTGCACGCGCACGACCACCACCATATTGAACCTACTTCAGATGCGCCGGTGTCGACACCTATCGCGATCTACACCACACGCTTCACGCGAGCCGGGCCAGTCACAACACTACCCCGAATTCTAGTACAGTGTTAGAGCAACGACACACGTACATAATGCAAATCGTCCTACGAAAACCACATTTTTCCTATAGGAAATGAAGAAAAATGGAAATACAAAAAAAATATACTAGTAGAAGATAAAAATAAATATAGCGCCAATTTTAACACCTGAAATAAAGAGATGAAATTTGAAGGCTTTTTCTATAGTCCGTTCACCCTCAAGGTGCAACCCCACTGTGGAAGTCGTTCTGCTGATTCGTTTGCGGTTTATAGCTTTTTATCTATGCATTCTTCAATCATAATAATAATGTCAAATGAAAAAACTGCTTTGTGACTATACCTTAATGTCTCGATTTTGCGCTTATTCTTAGTTTTTAGTTTAATATTCAACATTTAATAGACTACAGTTTCTTAAATTGAACTTTGATCCTCTCGACTTACAACGTACGAATGTCCACGATGATTTACGTGAACGGTTTTTTGGTGTAATGAATTACAAAAGTAAGCAATGAACTGTACAAAAATATTACATTTTTAAATAACAAAATAAGGTTTAAAGCGGTTTTATTTCCTCGTGCTATAAAAACGAAATCACATCACCTAAGGAAAACAAAGAGACATTAAATTACGAAGCATGTCTTGATATTATACATTTTCGAGGAACTCCATATCGATAGATTACACGGGAATTTCAGTATTCGATCACAAACTCTACCCATTCAGTTACGGTAAGTTTCAGCTTTTATTTTTGTATAGCTTGATTAGCATTTGTCGTCATGTAGCGCTTAAAACGCCACGTGAGAGACAGAAATGTCACCAAATGTGTGGGTGTCAAATGCCTGGATGTCCGCAGTGATTGAGACAGTGTTGTAAAAACAACAAGTGCGAGGCTAAAAGTCAGTGTTGGGTAAAGTACATCTAAAAGGTACTTCAAGTAAAGTACAAAGTAATTGAGACCTGATGTACTTTAAGTAAAGTAGTAAGTACACTAGGTGTAATGTACTTGAAGTAAAGTACTATAAATACAATGTACTTTAAACGTAAAGTACAAGTATTTTAACATAATCTTTCGTGATGTCCTTTAATTCCCCTATACAGTGATTTTTAACTGGTGTGCATTCCCCAGGGGTAATTAGGGGTGCAGACCTTTTTCCAAAAACAGCGGCGATATTTGATGAAGCCAAGTGGCCATAGAGTAATTATTTTCAGGAATGCAGCCAAATTCAGAAGTCCCTCCTCTGAATTTTTCGCCGCTTGCACTAGATTGTTGCGTCCAATAGGATTGAATGTATAGGAGAAAGCATGACGTCAGCCCCGTAGCTTCCGCGAGCAATCCTCTCAAAGAGGAGTGTCCTCTATTTAAATAAAAAAAACAGTGAGTGTGAAGGCAAGCGGTGATAATTAATCATAATGTGACACCTGAGATTCGGGTGCGAAAAAATTAAGGAACTTTCAAGTACAAAGAAAAGACACAAGAGAATGTCTCAAAACATTGTGACGTTCTCCTTTGTTGTCTTTTTCTTCGGCTTGAAAGTTTAATTGTTCTGCACCACCGTTTCAGGTGTTACATTATGATTAATTTTTCTCTCATACTATTTTAAACCTCCTCGCTTGCGCTGACCTACCGAGAAGTAGCGAAAGTTGAAAAAGCTACTGGAAAGCCGCCCCCAGAACAAGCAGACCGATGTGTCGTCTGCTCACGTCTCTGGTGAGACTAGAATATCCCTCCCAATATTTCTTCGGAGTTGACAAAGCATCATTTTGTGATACAAAGTTAACAAATCCAAATTTGTGGATTGTACTTTGAGGTGAAAAAGACGTACTTTCCTCGGAAAGTACCAGAAAAAAAAATACTTTAAGTAAAGTACAAGACAAAACTCTGAGAATATAATTCAAATCAAGTACAAGTTTCCCAAACCTACTTGAAGTAGTACTTTAAGTGCACTGTACTTAAAGTACTTCGCAACACTGCTGAGAACGGATATCTTGCGAATATCTAACGAAACCTTAGGGTTTGGCAGGGTGGTGGGGCGTAAGGAGGGTTGTCCTTTCTTACTTTATCTTTTTCTCATATCTTTTTTAGTGTTTTTTTTCTTCAATTACTCTCTGACCAATGTGATTTCTATAGCCTGATGGACAACATATAAATGCGTTGTTGCTCATAGACCTGTCAGTGTCTGTCCCTGGCCCATTTCAGCGTCTTTACCCTGTCTGTGAGAAATCTACACTTTTAAGTACATCACAAATTCATTTAAATTCTATAAATTGTAATTCCATACATATTAATGTTTTTTTTAAATCTGCTTAACACAAAATATGACATCAGAAAGCATAAATCGGATTCTCTCAAAACAGGTAAAACAGAATTTTTATTATTAATAATATTATTTTTATATGTTTACTTGTTCTCGTGAGGGAGACTAGAGACTCGTCTCGCAACCAAAGGGTTCTTTTTTTTACCTACCACTCTTTTCTAAAAAAAAAAAATAAAGAAATTTAATTTAAAAAAAATACACTTACGAATGGTATCCTCCAGGTCTTCAACAAGAGAAGAATTGGTTAGAATTTTACATGCATGAGGCTTCAAGTTCACAGTCTCGAGAATGTCCAGCATGTAAGAGATGAGACTAGTGTTGTCCTCAAGGTCATGACTGTCAGGAATAAACTTCTCGGAGATCTGGAACGTTGGTAAGGGTGCATGTATTCAAACGGCGACAACCGGGACAATAGTCATGACTGTCAGGAATAAACTTCTCGTAGATCTGGAACGTTGGTAAGGGTGCATGTATCCAAACTGCGACAACCGGGACAATACCAACTACGTCATTTTGGAAGTAAAAACGTTCGGGCTGTTGTACTATTCCCACTTGTCTCGTAAGAACACGTAGGACTAAGGACAAGCATCCTGCGATGACGTCCCATGCAAGCCATGCATTGGAGGGCGTCAGTCTTCACCATTCTGCCCGGTAGGATGGGAACGAAAGGGCATCACTTTTCGGACGCCTGGCCTGCAGCACATGCTTTTTGCCATCCGAGTTTGGCTTCTGCTTATATAACCATGAGAATTTAAGAAAAAACAAGATATAGAATCCCCGACGATTGCTGGTTTATGGTAACAGTGTGGCGACATGTACTTTATGGACCCCATGTAATTGTCGACGGAGGGAATACTTATCATTAATGGAATTTTGTGTGAGCTACAGGGAATTCGCGAAATAGCATATGGAAATTGTATGTCTAAGGCCTAAATTGTGTCCCAGCGCCATTTAAAAGGATCGAGTCACATGACCTGCGGTAGAAATATTTTTCTCTAACATGCAACTTACGTCACTGTAAAGCTGTGGTGGCGCACTGAGAATCTCGAGTGGCACCTGACGTGTCGCGTGACATACATACCTCATTAAAACCATAACAGGTGGCCACTTATTTTCGGTGCGAGATCAAGAGTAGGCGGCTCAAGCTAAACTCACCACAAGGTCACAGGTGGAGAACGTTTGGACCTAAGGCAGGCCTTCGTCAGGATTCCTGACGAAGACCTGCCTCAGGTCAAAACGTCGAATAAAACCCTCCTGGTTTCTTTTCCATTGTTACCCTGCATCTCTTCCTTCTACGCCTTCGGCCTCCAATATATATATATATATATATATGTGTGTGTGTGTGAGTGTGTGTGTGTGTGTGTGTGTGCACCGCTATTCGCCGCGCGGTCTGAAACGTCAAATCAAGAGCTGCGCTCCGTCGCCGGCACTCTACCGTGGTCTTGCTACGGTGCGGACAACATCAACGTGATAGAGCAAGGTCCATGCAGGGTCTCCATGTAATATCATTGCTTTAGAACGGCATATAAATAGTTTTTTTAATTTTTTTTGCGAAATGAGTTAAACCACGTGAAAAGAAACTGAGATGAACTACAGTGTGTGCTTATCAGACTAGACTGGATTCCTGTAGCGCGACCACTTCGACATTAGTGCTTTTCACGTAATACGACAGCTTTCATTATTATAAATTTTGGGAACAATGGGCCCACAGATATACTCCGAATTTCAACCAAAATTAGATAAGTTTCGGTTCCTAAATTTGGCTAATTAAAACAAAACAAAAATTAAATAAAAAATATCGTTACCTCTTCATACGCTTTCCATCGGTCCATCTGGGCGATTGTCCTCCACACCTCGTAGCCCGTCCAACGAGCCACAAACAGAAGCAGGCACTCTCCTCCGGAAGTCATCAAGTCGGATATGTTTCTGAAAGCGGTCACGTAGTCCTTCGCAAAATGTAAAGTGTAGAAAGAATAGACGCGGTTGAACTGGCCGTACTTTTTGACCAGTCCGGACACGTCAATCGAGATATCATGGACCTGGTACTCGATCTGCGGATGGGCAAAGTTCTCTTTCGCGTAGCGCACCATGCTTTCGCCGATGTCCGTTGCCACGATCCTCCTACAGGGCTGGCAGCGTTGCAGGAGTTCTTGGCGAGTGAAGTCGCCGGTACCACATCCTATGTCTATAAACTGCTGGTCCGCGCTGGGTCTACTTTTGAAGTTGATTCCCAAACGTTCGAGCGTCCTGATGTTCGTTTTTCGCTGAAGGTCGTTGGCCTTCACATAGACCTCCGGGAGGAATGTCACGGCTGGTTGAAGTTTTTCTCGTGCTTCTGCGATCGAAGGATTCGCCATGTTTCCGGTGCAGCATGAAGCATCCTGACTCGTAGTTTTCTTCCAGCGAAAATTCTGAAATTCATAATTATAAATAATGACTCAATCATCTCTTCTACACTCTGTTTTATGTTAAGATTGACAGTATCGAACTCCATACGATCCGATGGAGTCAATAAAACAGCGCGAAAAGCGCACCGTCAACGCGATCGTCACCTTTTTGCGATACCAGACTTGTACTGTACTCGTTGCAATAGTCAAATTGCCTGTAAGAGATTGTTTTTCAGAGAAACGTTTGTAATCGTTTAAAGCACATTGATTAACGAAGAGTCACAAGAGTAATTTGATTTAAAACCTGGGATTCAGCTAGTTGGTTCATTTAAATTGGTTTTGTTGGTTAAAAAAAACGCGGTCGAGGAAGAAACCCATAGCGCCAGCCCGTGTAGTATCTGTCTCTCCGTCGTCTGTGTACTTTGCAGTTTTGAGTTTTCTAGGTCGAAACTTGATCACTTCTGGAAGTACTAACATCATTCTTCTAACCATTAATATTTCTTCTCCCCCCTTTTTAATGCACAATTTGTTTCTTCAAGTTTGTAACGAACATATCTTCGAATGAAGCCTCCGACCGGAAGATGTTTTACCAACATTGGTGAATTATGAATGTAACTACCTTATTGAAAATAACACTTCAGTCTTGATGCTTACGAGGGCCCTCTTAACCCTTCAAACACTTTCAGCCCATCAAACCCGCTCAGCCCTTCAAACCACTTAGCCCTTCAAACCCCTTCATCCCTTTCAGCCCTTCAGACCTTTGAGCCTTTCAGAACCCCTCAGCTCTTCAACCATTTAGACGCCCAATTGACTGTGAACCATAAACCAAAACTTCAGTTTAAAAATAATTAAATTGTTTTTCAGACACCGAGTTTTACATGAACGTTGTAACTCAAAACACGATAAGAAACAACGTCTACTCAACCCCGGAGGCAAGCAGCTGTAGACAAAAGCCACCACACCAACTAAGGACAACCGTGTTCATTGCCACAAAAAAAAATATATCTTTCAAGGTACTGCCATGCCGCTGGGTAAATTCCTGAGACGTACGGTAGTTTTGAGTAATAAAACCGATCATGTGCCTCAAATGCACGCCTACACGTTGTCAGTAGCACGTTTATAGAAAAGCACGAACGTGCAACTAGCATCTGCCAGCGTTGAGCAATCATGATCTTAGTCACGGTGACATCACTGATGTCGTTGCTGCGGCGTCTCCAGCGTCTTCTCTGCTCGCTGGATGCTTTTGAACCCGGATGGATGAAGAAGCGTGAAACGCAGGCCGCTGAGGGACCTTGTTGATAGCACACCCAGCTGCTTTAGAAATAGATCCCATGCACGGAGCGGGAAGCCTACACTGAGCGTTCGTTCGTTCTTGCGCATTTAGTTTACTCCCGTTGACGGAGAAAAACAGGGATATCTGTTCCTGATGAAGCATGTATAACGACTAAAAACAGGTTATCTCGAAACAAACATCAAAAAGCCCCTGCCCATTTTCCCTACCCTCCCTCTCTCAGTCGTGAGCGAGTACCTGGCGTCCTTGGCACAGACACAAAAATTTCGCCACGTTAACCAAAGCCGCGATAGAATATTGACGGAGGAATGTCTCATTTTCCGGCATTTGTTACGGCCGTCCGATACAAAATGTACAAGTGACTTCTCCGATGGGCATATATATTGAAGGTTCATATGATCTCTCCCACAGAACCATTAAGACCATTTTGATGGGTGCTTTGGTTCACAGAAAGGTTTCGGACAGACCCCGCAGGCCTTTCAAAAAACTATCACGGGTCTCTTACACCCTTTATAAATACTTGAAGGGTACACAGGCCTTTTACTAAACTTCGACGAACATCTCAAATCCCATAAACATTTTTGTAGAGTAGTACAAAACATTTCATAAATCCTGGTAGGCCCCATAGCCTGCTTTTCAGAAGGATAGCTTCTAATTTGGTGGCCTCAATCTAAAAATGGACAGTATGAAAAACCAGTCTTCAAGCCGAAAGAAAATCTGTCGTTCTCAATATCTGAAGTACTTGGAAAAGTAACGATTACTTTCTTGAGGAACGTCCAATTAATTTCCTTCTCAAATAATCGAGTAATCTAACGGAAATCTTTTAAGAAATTGTAATTGTATTGGACTTTTTTTTCAAGAAATCAGTACAAGAGAACACTAAATCACTGACATCCAACGAAACGCTATTACAATTACTTTTTTAGCAAAATACTAATTGTAATTGATTACTTCTTCAACTAACGCGTAAACGACTCTAGCTCATTCACTGACAGCTGAACACACGCGGGATGTGGCTTTTTATATTCATGCTTCCCGCATCGCGATTGTTTCTTCGGGATACTTGTCGCCAAAAGTCTCAGTCTGATCGGCCGCAGTGTGATTGTAAGATGTTCGGGGCAAGTCACGTGCTGAGTTAACTTTTTAAGCTGCTAGTCACTATAATGTTTTTTTTTTTTTTCACTACCGCGCTAAGGTCCAGCAGGATCCCCCACTGAAGTGACTCTTTCTAGAATCTCTATTTATACTTCGAATAATCTTAAGTCCAGGTTTTACCGACGCTACGAGCGGGACCGATCAAGCAACGTAAAAACCGCAAAAACATGCTGTTCGTCGGGTTTCCGATCGTGTTCTATGATCGCTAAACCAGTCAAGTTTATAATAGGCCCAGTGACTGGCGTTTTTAGCGCGGTTTCATTGGTTTCATCAGCTCGTATCATCGGTTTCGTCCGGAGTTGGTTGAAATAAAGTTCATATATAGGACAAATTGGGCCGTTTCGGAGATAAAAAAAAAAATTTTGCATAGAACTGCGCACATCACTATTTTATTATCCATGCTCAGCATTACCTTTATGACGGACAAGTGCAGGTACAAAGTACAATTGTGAAGTGGCCTAAAGGGAGAACATGTTGCGCCTGTCCGTGGCGTGCAGCGAGTTGAGGCAGTTTGAGTCGTTCTTCGGACCCCGGCAAATTCCCGATACTCCGGGCCAAGACGGCAGTCGCGATAATTTGTGGACGAAGGTCGTGGGCCATGCAACCTGAGTCAGCTATACACCTTTCCAAAAAATACTCGACCCCAGGGGCAACAGACCGTTTTCAAACCCAATCACTGAGTCTGAGGCTAGACTCTCACCGGCGTCCCTCCTAACACTAACAGAGTGGACTGTGATTTCAATAGGCGCAGCCTGCGTAGGCGCAGTTTCAAACGCTGCTGGCGGCTAAATTCTCGTCTTTTTCCGCTATATTTTGTGTTTCATGCTACATTTATTTTTTCGAGGACATTAAGAGAGCATTGTGCCACAATAAAAAACAAGCAAAAAGAAACAAAAAAAACTGTAAACTATTTTTGTTGGGTACGCGCCGCACAGAACGAATGCGACTAGAATGAATAGTTCTAGTTATTTTCTTTTTCTTACGATAAGTTTTCACTGCGCCGCGGGATTCGCCGCATGTGCAACGACAAAGCGCTTTGCTGTCAAAAATAAATTGCAACAGAAGAGGGCCGAAAGGCATGCATTTTTCACGCTCACACATAACGTGTTTAACGATGGACAGGACACGGACATACAATTGAGGAAGTGTTAACATTCGAACAATATATCGTACGTACCACACGATGCAGCGTTATCCAAGAAGAATTTATATGAGAAAGATCTCAAATAACAAAGTCACAGTCGACGACAGTCACATCTTGACAATTGGACGGAATCCGACATGACTTCGTTTTGGGGAGAGCTTCCTTTTTTCACAACCGCACCAAGGCAAAGAAACAAACGCGACTCACTCGTTTCTCACCCCAACCCAGACAGCTATTTTTGGAGATGACTGAGTTTTCTACACGGATTATTTCTTGAAGGGGGGAGAACAATGTTCGCAAAATCGCGTCGAGGGTCGTTCGATGTCCTCCACCTCCTTCGTTTCCCGTGAATGTCGAGCAGAAAAGCTTGAATGGCAGGCACATACCAGCCTTATTTCTCACAATGAAAGATAACACAAAAAGGGTACGCAGCACGCATAAAAAACATTAAATGTAAACTTTCAAGAGGGGCGAGAAAACGTCGAATGGAAAACCGCAAAAACGCAGGTAGAGAACCGCGCTGAGCGGGTCTTCACAGTCCCAGAGAGTGGCAGAAATTATCTAGCTGATAGAGGGCGTGAGAGTCGCACCAGCCGCATCAGCATCAGCAACATGGCGGCGGCCCAGGACCGTTTTTTGGAAAGGTGTATAGCGCCTGGACTTCAGAAGTTTCCAACTGCTCAATCGAGGTCCCGTTTTGACTGGTACCCTCTCATCTGACCCTCTCCCAAACGGCCGAAGTGGCCGCGAGAGGCGTTTGACTCCGTCCACATGACGATGACGACTGTGGGAACAAGGACAAGGCTCACCATCATCAACGGCTCCCTGGAACTCATCACCGGAAGATTTATGAAGCCTTTTTTTGACAATTACGCTCTGGGCGTGACGGACACGAATGCAGCTGCGAAGCTTACTAAGTCGGAACCCGTGTGCCGCAAAGTGTTCAAGTTTTGGTACCATCTGGCGCCAACGTCTTGACAGCGGACATTCCCAACTAAATGTCTGCCCTCACGTAAATTTTTATTCCTAGTATCTCTTTTAATGCGGAATGTGCGCCGGGAGTGCCTTTTCAAAAACCGCACGCGAACGGCAGTTCCAAAAACGCAATTTGCATAGTATCCGCAACACGCCGAAGCTCGCGTTCATAGATGGTTCCCTGATGTCTGCATTGACTCGTAGGTGGATGTAACGTAAACTACCTTATTTTTGTGGGCTCGATATTTTCCGAAGGATGGGTTTGGAAGTGTTTCGTGGGCATGAACTTTCGCGAGAGATGTATACACGTTTACAGTACAACCAAGAGGCAACAAGCTACGCCAGCATTGTCTAGTCAGCACGGAACAAAATTTTGTTCATGATATATCTGAAGAAAGAAAACAC